AATGCGTAACCCTTCAGAAGGAAACATTTGACTTTTATCTCCATTACATTAGTTTGACAGCTTTGTGTCGCATCGTTAATTAAAACCTATTCTGAAGTTGGCCATTAATGCATAGGCCTACTTTTACTTTTGGTACGTTTAGCATATTGATGTTCAAAATGTATGTGATTTTACCATTGTAACATTTTGAATGAAGGATAACTTCATTGCATTAGTGTATTCCTACACTAATGCAATGAAATCATTGATTTTTTACTCAATTTAAAGCTCAAAGTAGGCAATGTATTACACCACTACTAGGTCTACTTGTTTACAACATTATTATGAGCTGGGTTATGGGGAATACCAGAGCCAGTTACATGTTCCTTTCACTTACCGGCAGGAGGCAGCAAATTAATAGCCCTCACTACAGTCTGCTTGTATTGTGAACTAGAAGTAGACAGACCCGTTTGCTAATGTTGCTAACCAACAAGGAAGCAGCACAGCGTGCCAACTGCTAGCAATATATAATCGAAGGAAGGTGCCCTTGCTTGTGTAAAAGGTAATTGCTGTTTTCATATTTAATTGTTATTTATGAACTGCGTTTAACGTATCCTACTTTATTATTTGTTTCGTAGTGAGAGAGGAATATTGGTGTTTTTTTTGTTGCGGAAACAGACTCTCGTTAGCCCCGGCTAGCTGACCTGTCAACAAAGAGACCGATATCGTAATTACCTGGACTACATAACACGTCTTAGGTCAGTTTAAACATTAAATCAAAACATGTGAAGCTGGACTGTCCGGTGTATTTGTTTTCTATTTCATTCGATGCAGCGTTACGTTGCAGAAAACGTAAGGCAAGCTATGCATATAACTGACGCTAGCTGAGGTTAGCTAGGCAGGCTAGCCGTGTTGAGGCTAAGGTTACTTCTGGGAAAACACCTTCCTCTGATGACTTATCACTGCTGAATGTGATGTTGTTAAACAGGACATTTCAGGATATTAGCTAACTTTATTACTAAATGAATGTATTAACCCATCTACATCAATGTGTCAGTTAACCAGGGGCTGAGTTTCAATGTGTCGGAAACGTAATAAAGTTTAAGTCTTACTTGTATTTAACGTTTAATGTTAGATTCGTGTTAGTTAAACAACAACAACAACAGAGCGTTCACCACGATTATACGAGTATTTAGAAAAATAAAAGGGGGTGCTGGTAGATGTTCTAGTAAATACTTGCAGGTGACATATTACAGGTTAAACCAGACCACTACAGGTGCAGAGGCTTCCTTATGAGGCAACCAGGGTTAATGAATAATGGAACATCGTAAATCATTTTGAATAGCCTTTACAATCACCAGGTCTGAATACATTACAACCAATGAGTAGGTTTTAGGGCCATCAAGTCATAACATATGTTTGCTTTAATCTGTCACCCAATTGTTAAACATTGAAAATGTATATTTACATGTATGACTCAGATTCACATTTATTACTGTTTTTTATTTTTTTTTAAAGATTTCAGGTTTGGGTCCGAGGGCCTGTGCCATTTTGTTTTGAACTCATAATTTATTACTCATGGCTAGATCTCTGCTTTTAAATATTCTTTACTTTGAATTCAATTGAGGACTTGCAGGTGGATGGACTAAGTCTCGGATTGGAGCTAGGAAGTAGAATAAGGACTACTTCAACCGCTATTTGTGAAAGCAAGAAGTGATCTAAAAGTCTGCAGGTGCCCCCATTCTGTGTCAGCAGTGCCAATCACTCAACCACCATGTCAGATGGACGGATCTATGTGGGGAATCTTCCCGTGGATGTCCAGGAGAGAGACATTGAGGATCTCTTCTACAAATATGGAAAAATCCGGGACATTGAATTGAAGAACAATAGAGGCACTATCCCGTTTGCATTCGTCCGATTTGAAGACCCACGGTGAGTTTTAGGGATGGTGTTTGGCACATCAAATCACATTCCCCTTGTCCCCCGTCTCCAGTGACTGGCAGCAGGGACTGGATGGGGACGGCATTTCCAGACCTTTGTCCGCAAGCAAACAAGCGTACTTTGGTAAGGAGTTCTTTGCTCTCTTCTCTTAGGGATGCAGATGATGCTGTCTATGGAAGGAATGGATATGGATATGGAGACTCCAAGCTGAGAGTGGAGTACCCTCGGTCCGCTGGTGCTAAATTTGGTCCTATGGGTGGTGGTGGTGGAGGAGGAGAAAGAGGTGGAGGTGGTGGAGGAGGAGGACCTGGAGGACCTAAAGGAAGATTTGGACCCCCAACTCGAAGATCTGAATTCCGGGTCATGGTTACTGGTAGGTGGACGTCATGAGTCATAGCCAGATCATAATTCTCTCTTTCGCTGTCTTCTGGAGCTCATGGTGAATGGGAGTGTGTTGGTGGTAAGAGTCGTAGGAAGATACTTTCACCCTTTCTCTCATGGCGGACTGGAGGACAAGGGAACTAGTAAAGGTCGTCGCAAGTTGTAGACTGTACATTTCTCTCTTTCTTGGCGGAGTGGAGGACAAAAAGACTAGTAGAGGAAATCATGAGCCGTAGGAAGATTTGTTTCACACTCTCTCTCATGGTGGACTGGAGGACAAGAGAACTAGTATTTGACATCACAAGCCGTAGGCAGATAACTTTTTCTCTCTCCAATGGCGGACTGGAGGACAAAGGGACTAAAAAGATCATCATCCATCCTAGGCAGATATGTTTCTCTCTTTCTTGGTGAAGTGGAGGACAAAGAAACTAGTAGAGGAAATCTTGAGTCATAGGCAAGTATGTTTCTCTCTCTCGTGCCGGATTCAAGGACAAGGGAACTAGTAAAGGACGTCATCAGTCATAGGCAGATATGTTTCTCTCATGGCGGATGAAGGTCAAGGGGACTAGTAGTGGACATCATGAGTCAAAGGTAGATCTTCTCTCTCACGGACTGGAGGACAAGAGACCTAGTTAAGGACATACAAGTTTTAGGCAGAAGTGTTACACTCTTTCTTGGCGGACTGAAGGACAAGGGGACTAAATGGATGAGTTCAAGTCAGCTTTTTAAGTCATGAAAAACAAAACATTAACGGAAACCGGTCATGTTGGCTGCATAAACCCAAACACCAACTATAGCGAATGGTAGGTGTATTTTTGTCATTACAGCAATAACTGTTGTATGCTACCGTTTAAACAAGCATGCTAATATCAGCTGTAGATTAGGACTGCTTATCTAACACCAACTCCTCCCAGTTTATTCAGTTGCATGGCTATGCAGGCAATACTAAAGCAGATTTCTGAAAGAACATTGGATTTGATTAGATAAGATTTGTTATTTATGATAAGCTCAAACTTCATAAAACATGCTTTTAAACCTATTACTAAGGTTGCCAGGTATTTTAACTTTAAAAGAAGGAAGTCATTTCTGTCCCTAACAAATGTAGTCTTTTCCCATTTCAGGATTACCACCAACTGGGAGCTGGCAGGATCTGAAGGATCATATGCGCGAGGCAGGGGATGTTTGTTTTGCAGATGTGCAGCGTGATGGAGACGGGGTGGTAGAGTTCCTCCGTAGAGAGGACATGGAGTATGCATTGCGCAGACTGGATCGGACCGAGTTCCGCTCACATCAGGTGAGTGCCTGTGCTGTTGAGATTCAAATGTCCCTTTTTAATCTTAAGAGGTTAAAACGAACAATATCCAATATTCCTCATTTTGTAGGGTGAGACTGCTTACGTCCGTGTCTACGAGGAACGGGGCACTCCCAGCTTTAACCGTTCACGTTCCCGCTCCAGATCCAGGAGTCGCTATACACCTCCCTACCATAACAGAGGGTCTCCTCCTGCTCGCTACCAGTCACCTCCACGCCATGCTATGTCGCGCCATAGTCCGCGCCGTAGTCCACCCCCCAGGAGGCACGCTCCACAGCACCATAGCCCACCACCACCACCACGTCATTACCGGTAAAAAGGCACGCCATTTATAGAGGAATTGGGGGGAAATGTTTTGTAATTCTACTTTTTAATTTTTTTAAACCCCAGGCTTCCTCGCAGAAAAAGTCATTGTTATTACTATTTACATTCCATGTTCACCTTCACGATCACCATGCTCCTCCCCAATGCCTTAAAGATAATTTGTCTTTGTTTTTTAAACACCCATTCATGGTATCTGGAATTGGGATTGTTGTTTTTTCTTTCTTAGCGAGGTAATTATATTTGATTATCATATAATGTATTGCAGATTTCTTTTATAAAGAAATGCTGGGGTGTGGTGTCAAACCTTGACGGGGAAGATAAGCTTTTAGGCTAAAAGTCATATTGCTTAAATTCTTCACACGATTTTTCTTATTGTGTGTTTCATCCAGTAGATTTAATCATACACTTGCCAATCTGAGAATCTGTGAAGCTAATCAATATCCTACTCTGATTCAAAACATGTATCTTGTGAGCCTTTTAGACTAGTGCAACATGTTGACTGTGAGTCTCACCTGTCAGATTTCTTTTTTTGTGTGACCGAGGTGGCCTGTAGTTGGATTATAATTTGTATGCATCTCTAATGTTGTTTTTTCTTTACAATAAAAATGCAAACTTTTTATGGTCTTTTTGTCCTAAATCTTGTTTTTAATAGATCCTAACTACTATTAATCTAACTTATTTTCAAAAGGTTGAAGCAGATGTTAACCTTAACCATGGCTTTATTTTATTCAAATGTCCCATTGAGCTGGCATGCACAATTACAGGCTCCCTTAGCAGCTAAGCAAATATTTTTATTGTAATTTTGATAATGGCAAGCTGTAAAAATCTTGAACAGAAAGCTGTCAAATATACAACACCAATGGTCAGTAAAGATATAGTACTTTCTGAAATGCATAAAATCAAGGCTGTTGTAGTCCAGCTCTTTCATCAAAATCCCTGCAGAAATGAAATCAGCGTCTCAATACTTGTGTTGCTTGGATTGAAGTGAAACAAATACAAAATACCGTTGCTAAACTTGAGTATAAAAGTGTAAAGTGCGAAGATAAAAACCAGGCACATGGGATGCAAAATATAATATTTTTTAATATGCAATAAATTAATTTTACCAGGTGACAATTTTGAGAGGACAGAGAAAAGAAAAAAAATGTTTTATTTCCAATGGCATATTTGTATCTTTCTGTTCCTTATAATCAAATAAAGACCATATACAGACATCGTATTGCATTTATATAACCATGTACGAGCTTAGTTTCTTTCAAACACATTGTTTACAGTACATCTTCTGACAACAAACACAGCAATACACAAACAGCAATACTCAGGCATGTTTTAGAAGATCATATGGAGACATTAGCAGTGGAATCCAAACACTTGTGGGTAAGCTGCTGTGAACCAAACAAGGGTGTGTTATGGATATTTTGCAATTGTAAGTGGCACCAATTAAACTATAGGTCACATAGAGAATTTTGTATTTGTGTTGAACATTTGGGACATCCCTCTGGAATATCTGCTAAACTGATTATCACAGACCCCGTTCGGCCAATTAAAACTATTGATATAAAGTCTTCCTGAACATTGTTTCTTTAAATATATGTTAATTTCAGCTGAACAAATACAATTCCCATTCACTGTATTTGATTAGCAGCAGACAATTCAGTGGTGTGAACATATGCACATAAATCCAAGTTTATCTGTTTTACCACTGACCAGCAAGCACTACACAACCCTAAATGACGAAGACAGCTTCAAAAATATCAAATTATCGGGAGTATCTAAAGTAAATCTGCTGACCATTGCTGTCAAAAATGATAAATGCACTTCAATGGACTGAGCACAAGTTCACTGCTCTTTCAACTGATCAAACTACGGATGTAGCCTATCAAGGTGGAGGGTGCTGAACAAAATGAAGAAACAAAATGTAGGCGGGACAAAGCCAAACTGAAACCATGTATGCGATCTGAAACCTCATGACTACTAATATGAACAAAGGGATCTTGAGGTAATAAAGAGAAATGCACATTTACTCTAGTCTTACAATACCTGTAGCTATTTCCTAGAGTGTGTTAGAGACAAGGCAACCAAGATGGCAGGGCAATAAATTGGAAGAAAACCATAACATTGATTGTAGGGTAAAAGCGAATAAGATAGTGCAAAGGAAGCATGCTGCCTTCACTGCACACCACTTTTAGTTTACCACCAGCTCAAAATCAACCACACCAGCTACCGCAATGCTGCAAGGAAATAGAATCTATTGGCACTGTACTATCTTGATGTTGTGAAAAAACAACAGCATATATCTTCCGCCTGAGCAGCATAGTGTTAACTAAGGTGAGAAAAATGTGTTTGCATTGAACCAGTAAGAAGAACCAGTCTGCAAAGAAACAATGCATAGCCAAGGTCAGAGATAGAAGGAGCTCAATGTTTAGGAACTTGGTACAAGAGGAAAGATGGTATTTATATGCAACCTATGTGCAATCATGCCCGAGTGCACAGAGATCACAGGTTGGGTCTGGATTTCCTCCAAGCTTGTGTGCATTAGAGGCAAAAACAGGAAGAGGAGCATCACGCCTCAGAGAAGCTGGTAATTTGTCCTAAAATGGCTGTTGAGAAGCAAACCACACATGCTACTTAGACACAAACTCCTCTCATGTACATTTAACGCTCACAAAACCAAATCATCCAGTAATGGTGGACATCATTACTGAAAATATATTCAAGAAGGTTAGTCATGGTAGCTACAATTTAAGCAAAAAAAGATGATATATAAAATATATTCAAGTGCATCACAAGATGTACGTGTAACTGAATAAAAAGAACAATACAGTGAATCATTTGGTTTCTGGATCCCTGAACAAATAGCTTAATTTAAGGCAAAAATATATAACATCCTGAAGCAGTTCCAACAAGGGTACATTCACTAGGTGAACAATATCACATAAAAAATAAATGTACTGGCAATAATTCCATCTCCCCTGAATATACATGTAGAGAGGAGCAGCTGGGAATAAGTTGTTGTACAACTATCTTAGAATACTGGACTTACCAATCACTGTATTTCATAAACATGTATTTCCCTTTGAATAAATTACTATTATGTGGTGTCAGTGTCTTGAAACAATTTAGCACAAAGAAACGTGGCAGCAGAACAGTTGTGTCACTCGTTTTCTATGAGCGTCTGTACTTTGTTGACCAAGTCTCGCGCCATCATCAAGACCTGCGGGACGTTGTGTCGCTCTGCCATTTCTGAGAAAACAATTGGAAAACCATAATTATTTACAATAATATTGCTAATATTTCACTGTTTATTTTCTCCTTAAGACTGCTTTTGAAAGTACCCTACAATATCATAGCTGATCAATCTAGTTTTAATTATGAATACGCTCTGGTAATTGTCAACACTTGTTTCCATCATATTGTAGAATTGTATTTCTCTTCTCTTACCATTAAAGAACTTGATGATGTCTGTGAAGTCCATGTTATTTTCTAGGATGATGTCTCTATAAATTTCCACAAGTGCCAGAGCGATGAAGAGGACAAAGTGCTCGGAGGAGATGTACTTGGCTGCCCAGATTGTTTCCCACACAGAGTAAACATCATCATACACCATTTCTGTGCAAAAAAGACAACCAGGATCAGATTACATACAGTATAACATTATATAAAATCATCTTAAATTGTCAATTCTAGCAAATGTCATGATGCGTGTGTTTGCCTTCACCTCTTTTAAAGTCGAGTAGAAACCATCGATAACAGAAGTAAAAGTGTGTGTAGTCTCCATTCTGCTGCATCAGTTCAAACAGCTCAGAGTCCAGGATCTATTTGTGTAAAATAAGATGTCATTATTACACTATAGCTTTTGTGTATACGCATTCATTCACATCCGCTGGTGCGCAGTTATCCACATACCTGGATAAGAGAACGCATATTGGCGAAGTGAGAGTCCATGGCACCTCCATGAGGAAAGTTCTGGTTCATCCTCTTCATCATTTCAGTGAAGCAGCTGAATGCCATGACCTCTGGAAAGCACACGCATAAAAAAGCAAATTTAGCCATTTAATTGCATTTAAAAAAAGGTGTATACTGAGAGTTTTTTGTTATTTTTCACTGACCATCGTCCAGAATAACCAGTAGGGGAGCTAGCAGATCACACATGCCCTGGACGTAACCTGTATCGAGATGCTGCCACACATAACTGCAAAGACAACGATAGTTACGTCTGTAACTACGGTTCTATGAGTCCCGGATGACCGCCAGAGGCGGTGCTTTAGCACTGGATATGTCCATTGCGCTCATGCGCAGCTCGAGTACCAATAACAACAAAGTCACAGTCTGTGACCCACGTGACACCGGTTATATATGCCGGTGTCGTCAGAGGATCCGTTTCCAGAATCTTCTCGCGAGCCCACAAGAATTCTGAGTGACAGGATACTCTGGTGGTCATCCGGGACTCATAGAACCGTAGTTACAGACGTGTGGCTGAGCAGTCCTGCCCTGCCACACCGCACCCCACCCTGAGAGACATGCATCCACAGTGACAGTCTCCCGGCGGGATGGGATGGCATGGCGTCCATGGGCCCTGAGGCCGAGGGCACCTTGCATCAGGCCTTGGAGCCTCATCAGGAGCCAGAACCGGGGAGGCGATGGCAGGCTCAATGGATGGCAAGCGACCCAGCCCCACCCTTGCCGATATAATTAAAACCAGTTGACGAACGTTTGTATTTTGTTGTTCTACCCAATCATAACCAAGTGTGGTTATATAACGTTATCTAACAACATAAAGAACAACGTTGAAATGCTCTATTTGGGTTGTAATGCGCTCACATAGCTAGTCTAAAATCGTGATCAAACGTTCCAACCGAAACGCTGTAGGCTACACGGTACTCTCGCACAGCGAGAAGATGAAAGGAACAGATCCTCTGACGACACCGGCATATATAGCCGGTGTCACGTGGGTCACAGGTGACTTTGTTGTTATTGGTACTCGAGCTGCGCATGTGCGGAATGGGCATATCCAGTGCTAAAGCACCGCCTCTGGCGGTCAGTAGGGATGAAATAGAACCATATTTGTCAGACTTGAATGTTTTGAGACAAAACTCTGGGGATATTTGGCATGGCGACTCATTTACCTGCACATGATGTTACGCAGCTTGTCCAGGTTCTCAGTAGTGAAGTACCAATTAGCTCTGTCGCAGCGTCGGACATCTTTGTCAATGCGATGCAAGTTGATCAGGTACATATCCAGTGTCTCTTGCTACAACAATAATAGAACATTCTGTTTACATTGTTACAGCAGAAAAGAGCCAAACACAGCTTAATGTTACCTAAGTAGCATGCATAAAAAAAGAAATTAAAGATAAAAAAAATATATAATCAAAAAAGTTACACAATTTACAAAAAAAACATCCTGTAACAGTCCTGAGGATTTAGCAGCCAGGTATATATTGCACAGTTATTAATGCCATAAATATATATATATATTGCACATATTGCAAGTATGTCTGTAAATGATGTGTATTGCTTACAGAATAGGTTTGTTCTTCTGAGGATTCGTCCAATTTGGCGCCTCCTCCTCCGACCTCTGCAGACTCCGGTTCAGCGAGCACATTTTCCATCTCGGGCTCCTCCTCAGAAAGGCCCGGGTCGGTGCCCTCAGGGCTGGTGTTGCAGGCTGTGTCCAGATGGTGATCTAGGACAAAATCCTCTGATGTCATTTTCAGTCTTTGCGCAAGAGAGACAGGGGGAGCAGAAAGGCCAGTCAAAGGCCTAGAACTGATATCCTCAGAGGTCACACATGTCCCTGCAGGTATGTCCTCCATTTCCAGGGCAGAAGGAGAGTCGTCTGAATCTGCTGTGTCTGGAGACTGCCGAGAGTGGGACGGTAACGAAAGGCTGCCCCTTGACGCTGACTGGAGAGCGTTCAGTACTTGTCTGACAGGTGAAATTGAACCAGGTTTCTCAAATTGAATATCTGTAGGTTTGTCTTTTTTGATTTCAGTCACGTCACAAACTGTTAATTCAGCATCCTTTCTCTCTGACTCTGTGGTACAGGCCTTTTTTTCAGAAGTTATTTCCGGTTCTTCACTTGTGTCTTTTTCTGCTGCAGGCGGACATTGAGGCTCCACGTCCAGTGCTTTGCTCTTTTGTGCTTGAAAAGCCAAGGTCTGCCCGAGTGGAGGTGCTTGGAAATATTCATTAGTAATCTCTGTCTCTAGTTTAAGAACATTTGTGCTCTCTGGAACACTTCTTAAATTAATATTTGTGTCTACTGCTTTCAAGTCTTCAGACAGCTCACTTGTTGAAATATCTTTATCTTCTACTTTAGATTTTTCTTCAAATTCAGGTGTTTCTTGTGATTTACTGATTACACAGTCCTTAACCTCACCTTCTGAAACAGTCTCCATCTTTGTCTCTAACACCTCCTCCTTTGCTACTGGGTCCTTTACATCCTCTTCCTGTGATGCAGTTGTTTTTTCATGTAAGACTTCTGATTCTTCCACTGACGGCTGAGCGTTTGCGGATCCAACAGCTGACTCTGTTACAAGAGGGCTGTTTTCGTATCCTGGTTGCTGATTTGTCAGACCCAGAGAGGAGGGGCTGCCGGAGGGAAGCTTTGGGGCATCTGCAGTACCACTTGTGATATCCTTCAGTGGACTACTGTGCTGTATTTCTGTTTCCTCAGCTTTGGGTTCAGCTTCAATATGATCCACTGCCTCAACCGATCCAAATACCTGGTGACAAAAGAAACGCAGTGAATATGCAGTACATTTTGCAACCAGGCTCAATAAAAAGGACAAATGTTGAGGCGTTATACCAGTGCTTTTAGAGTTAGCCCAAAAGCTATAAATCATACTGTATATACTACTGATGGAAAATGTTCAAGGAATACTATATGTTTTAAGAATGATTTCCAACCTTCCAGGTAGCTTTTGGTTAACAATGTATTTCAATGTACTTTTTATATCTAACAATGTCCTATCTAATCCTTCACATTTAACTTTTGGTAAAATGTTTTCCTTTTTACAGCCAAGTAGCTGTAAAGCAGACCGTTTTTATTTCTAAGTTATCTATTATTTAAAGATGTAAGATGATTGATTGCAGTTCAATTTGAATGAAACGTAGGAAATCTATAGAGTTATGACCTTCACTGTATAAAGTGTAGTAACAAGTGGGATTACATCTTTTACATGAAGGAAACATGCTGAATATCATTGCTGTTTTGATGTTCATTCCCATGAGAAAGTACCTGTGCACTGTTGCTAGAATCACTTTGTGAGGTGGCACTCTGTGGATCTGAGCTGCTACATAGAGACGACTGTAACGGAGAGAGCATCACACAGACAAAAAGCGAAGCTGTCAGCCAACTTTCCTAGAAATAGCCTCAAAATACTTTAAACAGTTATCTTCTGCCAGTTGAAACTGGTTACACAATGCAGCACATGCCATGCAAAAAAGGTCAAACTTGCATCTGTGCTGATGGTGGAGTCCCGCTGCACCGGGCCTCTCTCCACACTGGCTGACAAACATCTGGCGATGGCCTCGGCATGCTTCTCCTTCTCCCTCTGAAGAACGATGGCCTCGCATCCCTGCCACTCCTTCATCTTCTGCTCATACATGATCCGCATCTGCTCGTCAATCTGAAAAGGAAACCTTGTGTAAACAAAGATTGTAACATTCCCAATGGTGTATATGTGTACTTCACACAGTCTCAGTCTTCAAATAGCTAATCAGAATACCTCTTGTCGGCATTTGGCAGTCATGGTGAACTGGTAGTGTCCCAACAGGAAGGGCCAGACCTCTTTGCGTAGTGAAGGAGCCACACCACCATAATACACAAGCCTGTGTATCTCCTCTTCCTCAAACGCCTGAACAAGATGAAATCTGCTATTTATCAATCATCAAAAAAGTACCATTTAATACAGAAATTAATTAATACTCTTCGCTTGGTGTTTCTCTGTGTATCTTACAGAGCTGTCTTTGAGGAATTGTCCCCAGACCTCCACAGAGAGGCCTCCTCTGGAATCACAGGGCACATCAGGGTCAACTATAGTGATGTTGACCAGAGCAGAAAGGTGTATGCGAACCGTGGACAGATGCCGACAGTATGCAAGCCCTGGAGAGGAAAGACAATGTTTTAATCGATAAGAACTACTTTAATGATTCCCAAATCATCAAAGATAACCAACAGTTCGTTGTACTCACATCCGTAGAAAGCACGGGAGATTATCTGATACTTCATGGTGTCACAGAGGAGCTTTAAGGGAGCCCTGGTAAGAGGGGAACATGGCAAATTGAGTGTAACAGATTGATCTGAATTTATATTCGAGCCTGTCCTAGGGAAATACGCACCTTTCCTGATTACAGCCATTAGGCAGAGAGCCATCAGAAGAGCCATTCTGTGAGCAGGAGGAGCACGAGGATTTTCGGGGCGTCGGTTGCCAAATGTTCACTCCCTGCTCCATCAGCTCCAGGGCCACTGCTGGAAGTTATAGGCTTTATCATTACTGATGCTACTAATACCATCATAGTTCTAATAGATTTGGACATCGCATATTACTTTTTACTTAAAATACTGTGGAACTTTTCACATCCCCTAGATTTTTTTTGCACATTTCATTACATTGTGTATATTTTTTTTATAGTATTTAGAAGATATATTTATTTGTAATGTTTTGTATTTAATATGTATCTTTCTTGCACAAATGACACCCAAGCAAGTTCACTGTTTGTTGAAAACTGAGTTGGAATTAAACTGGATTCTGATGCATGTGCAAGCAATAGGAAACACTTTTGGTGAGATGTAGATGTAGCAAACTAATTACTCTGAATGTCTATGTCAACGTTTCATTGTTGTTGATGGGACTATAACACACAGGGAAATGCAGCAGCCAAAATGAGAGAAAATTAATTATAAAGATGAATTATACATAATATATGCCTTGGGAAAACAGATTAATCTAAACTGCAATTGTCTAATCTGTAGATCAGTATTAGGAGAGTAATGCAATCGTAGATGTAATCTCTGATGATGTTTTATTAGATTAGCTCAGGGAGGCAGAGCAGGAAGATTAAAGACACTTACTGAACTCCATCTGATTGCCAGGAAAGAGGATTCGAAACACATAATCGGTTGATTCATCATCTTCCTTATCGGATACAGAATCACAGGAGCCGTGCGGACTCCTGTTTCTCAGTTTGGGGAAAACCTTTCCCTGTGAGTGGAAAAGCAACAGATTGTTTCAACAGACCATAGCTACACTTAGAATAACATGAAACAGAAGGATTCTATGAGGCACAATTCATGCTGACCTTTCCTCTTTGATTCCAGAGAGGGGGGTCCAGCTGTCCGTGAGGTAGCAGGCCCGTCTCCAGGCAGGTGAGAAACTGGAGGATATGTCCTCCTTTTGGGAAATGTAGAGGAGGTCTCTGGATCCCATCCTGGCTCACCAAAACTACTGTCCCACCACTGTTCACTGGAGAAAATAACACAATAAATAACAATGTAAATAACTCTTTAAACTACTTATTTGGGGGCAGAAAGAAACTTAAGGGATACTGTACCTTCCTGATGACAGTGGAGGTACACAATCTCATCTAAACGAATTGTCATAGCATAATCCCAATACACACTGAAAGGAAGATGAAGGAAGCCAATGAGTAACCTGTGCAAAAGCAAGACTGTTTTTTCTTTAGGTTCATTAGCCTAACCTTTTCTCAGAATCCAGCTCCCCCACATTGCCATTCATCAGCTGATTGGGTGTCCATTTCAGTGTCATGAGGTCTGCAGTTTGATGAAGAGAAAGGTAACCTGGGATGGCCTCCATGTCGTCTCTCTGCAGACACAAGACAGAGATTTGAAATAACAACATGTCAGCTGGAGCTGTCACTATCAGATTTTGCCTACACAAATAAACACAATTTCAACATAATAGGCATAAATAAGATGCTCTCGTGTTTCATAAAAAGTGAACATAGATCCTCTGAAAAAGAGAAACACACACCGGCTGCACCAGGACATTGTTCTTTCCAAACAGAAGTGTAGTTCTGGAGTTTTGGTGGAGGGACTCAACATAGTCCCTCACCCACATGAGAGGGCGATCATCCATGCTACCACTGGACTGTCTCTTCTGGATCTGATACAGGTTAAAAACATGGAATATGTATTACACATTGTTAGGTTATTGCTGATTAGGTGATTTAAACCATTTAAGCCCTCAATATCTAACCAGGGCAGGCCGCCTGGAGGGGGAATCTTGACGACAGTGGCCGCTGTGGATTCGGTGTCGCTGCACGAGCTCATCAGCAGACGGGTCCGTCCAGAAATGGTCTGCAGTCTTAACTTTGGTGTACTCCAAAGCACAAGGGCCAACTGTAAAACAAGGTTCATCAGTTTTAAATGAGTACAAAAGCAAAATAAAAAGGTGTGTGTTTAATCTTGTCCACGTGAAGGTTTATAAATACCCAATAGAGATGCAAGAATTGGTCCATCCACAGGATTCAACAGCATGGCTTCTTTCTCGTAGTAGGCACTGCAGGAAACAATATTTAGAAATTAAGGATATTTTACAATTTTGAAATTCTACCCAACTTTCTGTTTTCAAACCACACATTATGGGATGTTACCATACAATAGGAGAAAAGCTGACAGAAGAACATACTTTGCTTATAAGCAGTGAGATCAGTTCTTACTCATCTTACATTAAGTAACAATACCTGCTGTTCTCCACTAAATACATGACAATCTTGTCCAGGAGCTTCTCTATCAGAGCAGTCCGGATCCACAGGTGTTTCAGTGCCTGAGGCGGGATGTTGGCCAACTTGGATTGCCGACTGCGGTCGTTACTCTGAGAAGAATTGTTCTGCTTGCTGAAAAACAGAAAAGAAACCTGACTGATGACATGTCTGTATCGTTGTAAGTGGAGCAGACACACAGGACAGAACAAGGCACCCGGGGATATTATAACCCATAGAAGGAGAACACAAAAGGGATAAATATACAGGAGTGCTTATGGATACAGCAGAGAGAGGGACACGCCCCCATCATCATCAATGGGACTACGGTGGAGAGAGTCAGCAGCTTCAGGTTCCTTGGGGTCTACATCACTGAGGACCTGACATGGACTCTTCACACTACCACCATCACCAAAAAAGCTTGATAGCGGCTCTTCTTCCTCCGCAGGCTGAGGAGGTTCAACATGGACTCCAGGAGACTCTGCAACTTCTACAGGTGCACCATAGAGAGTATCCTGACTGGCTGCATCACGGCCTGGTACGGCAGCTGCACCACCCTCAATCGTAAGGCTTTACAGAGGGTGGTGAAAACTGCAGAGAACATCACCAGGACGGAGCTGCCATCCTTTACTCCCAGCGGCTCAGGAAGAAAGCCCTCAGGATTATAAAAGACCCCCATCACCCCAGCCACAAACTGTTTTGTCTGCTGCCGTCTGGCAGGCGGTACCGCAGCATCCGGACTAAAACCACCAGACTCAGGGACAGTTTCATCCCACAGGCCATAAGACTATTAAACACCTGAACTGTTGAAACAACATCTGTTAAATACCTGCACTGTTGAAACATCCATAACATTCATCTGGCTGCTACTTAGAAATTATTTATCTAATATATCATATTCCAATAACTTGCATTTAGACTCTTATTGCACTATTTCACTTTTTAAACTATTTTTCTTTTTGTATTGACTATTTACCTGCACTATATTTGTTATGTATATCTGTTTTATTGTGTTGCACTGTTGGAGGAGCCTGTGACCTAAGATGTTCATCATCATAACTACACTGTAGCTATGTTTATGACAAAATAAAACCTTGAACTTGAACCATGAACCATGGTGATTTTTTTGTCCCTGGCCGGTTGGAGTTAACACCTCACCTGGTTTCAATGAGCTGTTGCATCTCCTGGACTTTGTGGCAGAGTTCCTCAGCAGGGGTAAAGCTTTTAGCCGCCTTCATGAAGAGAGCTGCAACCTTGTTACTGCACAGCAGGCCTGCTATACGACGCTTCAGTCCGTGTAGCACACAGGACTCCACTACAGCTGCATACACAAACACAGAGTATTAGTCCATATTTGATTAGGGTTTGTTTTTTGAGGTGGACATTTTTTACTTGCCTTTTAGTATTATTTTGATGAGCTCAATAAAATGGCCTGAAGCCTTATATTTTTTATTTAAATTAGCACAGCTGATACAAATAATCTGCCCAACAGTGTCTTCCGTTGCTAGGATATGAGGGATGTGAATCACATACGCCTCAGTCCTGGTTAGTATCAACACCTTTAAAGGGTGCTAGTCTACTGTATTACATATCACATATAAATAGACATGACTAATAACATTTTGAAAATAAATTGTCAGGGATTGCATAGCTTGAACAGTCTGTGAAGGCCCATTTTGCACTATGAGGATGAACTGAGGATGACACACAGTGATGTCAACCATCTGCACTGTACATGTCTGTGAAGTTGTAACAACTACTGTGATTTATACTATTTAAACCAGCATGCCGTGCAATATCATTTCTGAAATTGGATGCAAAAGGCTGAATTTAAGCCAAAAGAAACACATTTATTCAAGATAGAGAAAAAAGATGCTCTGTTATTTACTTGTAGTTTGTCCCTCTTTATGGCCCCCCACTTGAATAGCCAATGATGCCAACTCCTAAGTTAATTTTCAAAAACATTAAAGATAATGGAAAATGCCTTGAGCGTGTATTCTCAATTTTGGAACACTCTGTCCGAGAAAGATTGCTTTTGGTGCAATGTAATCACAAAAAAACATTTACCGCAGAAGGATATGATGTGGCTGCTGTCTGCGTGCACAAATTTCCTCGTTACTGCCTCCTCCATAATTTGTTTCACCTAACAGAAAAAAGTACACAGTGGACAAGGATTAATCTGTCTGACACAGTTACATGAGGTGACAGGGAATAAACAAGAAGCACAACAGGAAGCAATGAGGGAATGAGTTACAAGAGATTAAGAACAGCAATGGAAGATACAGTGGATTATTTTAAAAGCACAACACAGGCTCTTCCCTTTCTGCTTTCTACAACTTCAACTTGAGCATTGCAAGAAAAGTGAAGGAAATGTTTCATAAACTTGTTCTAGAAGTACAGGAGGAATATGGGTCTTTACACCTCTGATCCATATTTTCTTCTTGCAACCTTAGGGGACACTCCAGTAAATTAGTATTCCACTTCCCCAAAGTTGCGAATTGGTCTAAACCATGTATTTTCTGAATCCCTTTGTTGGTCAAACACTGCCTACACTTCCCACAATGCAACTCTGTTATGCCTGAGTGAAAGATGGTCATTGCTAGGTAAACAAACACATTTTATTGATATGTTTATAATGTAGGCTTTCTTTTATACATGTAAAGCACCCAGTCGACAAAATGTCTGCTTGAAAGGTTGTCTTTCCTGTCATCGTAATTATCAATACGTAACATTTTAAAGGTTGACATTAAATTGGAATAACTATTGCTGTATTGTGTTTTACTGTAACAGTCCGGTCATAAATTGAGATCAGATCTTTTTACTGCCTATTAGTAGTGCATTTTATAAAAACCAGTCCAGAATCACATAATTGTAGATGCACAAACATGTTAGGGACCCATCAGAATCAGAATCCCTCTATTAGTCCCACATCGGGGAAATTTGCATCGTTACAGCAGGAAAGAGCCACAGGCAGCTTAATGTTACCTATGTTAAGAAAAAAGTACTAAGTTATGATATAATAAAAAAATATATATATAAAAATTAAAAAAAGTAAAAGAAAAATACTTTCCAAAATACAAATCCTGTAACAGTTCTTAGGATTTAGCAGCCAGGTATATTACACAGTTATTAATGGCATATGTATATAATGTATATATTGCACATATAGCATATATTGCACAAAGTATGATGGTATTTAACTGCAGCAAGTTACACTCTATTATATGAATCAAGAACTGACTTGAAAATGTTAAATACTGAAAATTATTATTTAAAAAAATACACATTATTATTTGCTGTGTTTCAAACATATATACCAGCTGAGCCCCTCCTTGCTGCAGGATCCAGCATCAGAGCCATGGATGTTGAGAGGCAATGAGTCACAGGTGAGGGGGAGCACAGACACGATTAGACTGGAAGCACCAGTCTTTTTTCAGTTATGAATAAAACATCCTGTGTTCTTCCCCAGGGGATCACAGAGTCACTGAGCAGTTTTGAAGTGTCTGAGATGAGCTAGTTAAATTCCGTGTAGATTAATATCAAAACTAGAATTCACTAATAAATCACGGTTGGAGCATGTAATGGTTGCTAGAACACAGTGTGAATTAAAAACAAAGTCACTTGAAGTTTTAAATAACAAGATGGTTTGTTGTGAAAATGTCAGTTTAGCCATCTTCTTCAGAGAGAGGGAGAGGGAGGGTCACATTTTAGGATGTGAAAAGGGAGGTTTTGCATGGATTGAACCAAATGAATCTTTAAACGTCTTATTAGAAGTGCAGTTTTTTGTCGATATAAAAGCATCATCATCACCACCATCATCTGTATCATTTTCGTCGTCATCAACAGCATCACTACCATCGTCACCATCATCTTACACCGGTCTAACAGCAGTCAAAAACATATGCCATTTTTTGACAACTGAAAGCCTAATTGCATCCGCTTTTTTATTGTGTAAAATGATAGCACATTTGATTATAAGCAGGGCTTTTACGTTGTCGTGGCTCAGACCCGATGAACGGTGTCACACACACACACACACACACACACACACACACACACACACACACACACACACACACACACACACACACACACACACACACACACACACACACACACCACACACACACACACACACACACACACACAGCGGCAGTAAACATAAACTGTAATGAGCGAGAATTGAATAAAATGCAACGAACCTCTTTCTTCACATTGCGCAGCAGTTTCTGTCGCGTCTCGGCCTCTGTCACGGGAGAAAACATACCGAATAATGCTGATCAGATTGCTGTGTGAAATAGATGATGACAGGCTCACGACTAGAGAATAATAAAGACGGCTGTACCTCCCATCGCTCCGGGAAGGGTGCAACCGCTGACACGCACGGATTTCTATTTTGAAGGATGTCTTCTGGAAAGCAAAGGAGACCACACTGGTTGCAAGGCAGAGAGGCTCCGAGATGTGCGATGTGTTCTTAGCGAATAAATTAAACCTATCTGTTACCTCTCACAGAACCAACACCCCTTTAAAGTCACAGTAGCCCATTACAACGCAGACCCGTACTCTCCATTCCCTGTGACACATATGGTGGATTTATTATGCCAAACTTAAAATGTCAAAATATTTGAATATTTATATTTCTCACATTATCGATCAAATCTTCAGAGCCCCTTTAATAAATATGGTAGGCTAGTTGCAGCTACCATGTCAAATAAACCAAGGCCTCATTAAATTAATTATCTCAGTAAGTCTTCATAAAAAAAATGCATTTACAAAAATGTACATAATTGTATTCATAGAGTTTTAAACAGCTTCTCATCTTATCATATTACATTATTAAGCATTAGTTGTATAGATATATAGTTTTATTTAAACAATGTGGTTTATACATTCTTATTAGTAAACCTTGTACAACCTGCTTTGGCAATACTGCATTTCATTATGGACATGCCAATAAAGTAAATAAAACATGTCAATATGGTTAGGCACATAATAGGTGGGTTTTATAGACATTAAAGGTGTCAATTTGAGTATCTGTGGCCATGGCTTGTTAAACTGAACTGCATTAAGAGTGTTCCTGTTTTTTTGTGGTAAATCCTAGGGTTTGCCAGCAGTGTTCTTTCAGGGCAATCAAGCTAATTAACCAAATGAAATTAATTAATCAAATTAATGCAGAAAATCCTGTTAAAAGCCAATTATGTAATTGAAATGTCAGTCCTGCTCATTAATGTGCAATGTTGACCCAATGGGCTTATACACCAAGAGATATAGTTTATTTGCTGCAGTGCTGATGGCATCCAGGGAATAGGCACTTTTATATCGTCTCACAGTAAGCTAAACTGTATTGTGTCTTCTTTATCAAACATGGTCTTTCTGGTGCAACATCTGTTGGTTGAAACCACAAACCCAAACTTAAGACTCAAGAAAGGGGAAACTTTCCCCAAAATACCACAAATGAAAGTGGAACTGGGACTTAACACAAACAAGAACTCATATTATTGTATGTTGAGAGCCTTTTTCTACAGGTTGAAAGAACAAGCGGATAAAACGCAATGAGTAGTTGTGATACTGATACTTGTCCCCACCTGGTGGAAGACACATTCATTGACTCCAGTCAATCAGCAGACGAGATCACTTCCTTATCCCACTCTTAACACCAACACAAATGAATGCAGTGACAGTGAGGACACAGAATCTAAATCCCACATCAGCAGGGAAATGATAAGCCCAGTGACAGTAAAACGTTTTCAGATTGGTCTTTGAATGGACAAACTTTGCTTCCAGTGCAGACACGTCCAATGACAAGAGAACATCTCTGATTCATCTATCTTTATGTTAGGTATGTTCCCAGGATGTTGTGATTGGAGAGAGCAAATTGTTTCAAAAAGTAGTGAGCTCTGCAAAAAAAGAAATGGTGCAATTGCATGTGTTACTTTCAAATCACCCTAAAGTCAAATTTAGCATGAAGTTGGAGGCAGAGGTTGTTATTTGTACATGCTATACAACTATACAAGTAATGATGTGATCAAGTCAAATATGATAACTACATTTGGGACAAACCAATTAAAATGAATGAAATATTAAATAAAATGTAAGATATAGTTTCATTTTTCATTCAACCTTTTATGGCACTGCATAATCTCTTCTCAGTTTTAAGGCCACTCAGGAGAGAATTGCATCTCTTTTTCTCCATTGGAAGGCACTTTATCATGTTTTCTCTACAAGTAGGCACTTTAGCTGCATTTATTTTGAAATAATGATTTCATCTACACACCCAAAACCAGATTTTCCTTTCTTAAGTTTACCAACATGTACTTATTCACATACAATAGGCTATATGTATTCCACCAATTCACAACAATATAGTTGCATAGGGTACACATCAAGGGGAAGGAAGGAAGGAAGGAGGCAGACAAGGAGGCACTGAGAGGCTGTGCAAGTATTGGAATAGGACACTGCTTTGTTCAACAGTAGGGGGGAGGCAAACGATCACAGTAGCTTTGCCTGCTACAATCGGTCAATACAATCTCCTAGGGCGGGCTATCCCATTTCATCTGTGTCTAGCTGTATTGTTACGTTAACTTTCAAATATTTGTCTTGCCTGGACCCTCAGGATTTCTACCAAGGGATGTCAAAGCGAGTGCGAAGCAGAGAGGTCTGCGCTGATTGCAGTGCTCCGGGTATGATGTCAAACAAGCTAGCTTTAGCTGCCTCCTAGCTAACCAGCTAGCCCTTAGTACAACTCAACTACGTACAGTTAGCTAACCTAGTTAACGCTGATAACTGATTAGCAATTAGCCACTCGGTTAATTGTGACGTTTTTAAATGTTATTTTCGTGAATACGTTTGTAGACATATGTCCTGTATGGGTTTTTTGTCTGTGTAATCACATTAAGTTGTCTGCTGAAACTATGCTTGAATGGTTTAAAGCAGTCAAACGTTGGGTTAGCTTGAGCAGATACATTAGCTTATTAAGCTAACTCGCTAACGACGACACGTTGATTATAAAGAAGCTAGCAGACCCACACCTGGTTGCAATAATAATTGTGATTTTGGATCTGTCGAAGATATTGGGAGGCAAGAGCTTATGTGTTGCTGTCAGTTAGCTAATATCCTCGTCTGGCTTGAATGTATAAACTACCATACATGTTCCAGTTTGAAGTTAGATAACATTATGGAACATCTACGTTAGACTGGTAGGTTAACATTTGTACCTTTTTTATTTATTTCTAGAGCCACGCTGGGCCTCTGTGAACAGGGGTGTGTTGATCTGCGATGAGTGCTGCAGCATCCATCGAGGACTGGGGCGACACAGCTCTCAGGTCCGACATCTGAATCATTCTCCATGGCCATCGTCGCAGATACAGGTGAGGAGATTGGTCCCCCACATACACCAACACATATAGATGCAATTATGGGAGATCATCTATTTATCCCAAGTGGAATAGATAATAAAATGGCTGCACAGTCAGACACATCATCAAATGACTAGAAGACAACGTCATGTTACTCCTCTGTCTCTCACAAGTTTTCTCAGGACTTTGAGTGTCCTTCAGGTTTCATGTTGACTTTCCATTATTTTGTGTTTTGTATTTTCCACCTGTTCCTTTACCTTAACTTAAATTACTATTAATTTGTGTATGGGATTGTATTGTTATGCTATTTTACTTCATTTTTAGTACTGTATTTTTAGTACATTAGTATTAAATTACTATATATTTGTTCAGGGCTGCATGGTATGAGTAAAATATACCTTAATAATATTACATGGGATAAATTAAGACATCAAAGTCCAGTTTTAGTACACCTCTATAAGCAAACAAAATTGCTTGTAGAATAAATTCATAAAATAAATTGTCTTCAATATTCTTTACAGATGAATTGGCAAAAGACAACAATAAAAAATTGCAAAAAAAAACATTTATATGTGCAGTTTCTACTGATGCTTTCTTTTAAACTAACTCAATAAATCCCTGGTGTGATATCGCAGTTGATAAACTGTATTTGTGTTTTAGGTGCTTTGTAGATGTTGATGCATTCAGGTAAACTGTTTTGTGCTTTCATGTTTTAGATGGTCCAGACACTGTATGGTAATGGAGCTAATTCCATATGGGAGCATAGCCTTCTGGACCCTTCTTCTTCTGTGAGTGGGAAGCGCAAAGCCAACCCCCAGGACAGAGTTCAGTAAGTGCTTTTAAGGAGTTTGATGCATCAGTGCTTATTTTGATATGCTTGTTTGCACTTTTTGATAAAAAGCTTTATTGGCAACATTGATTTTCATATTTAAGGTCAGTGAACATGCATAATTGACCTTTTGTGCAACGGACATGACTCATGGCCAGTCACTCACAAGTAACTTCAAGTTGGCATGACTTTTATTACTTAACATGCAAATGGAAATATACAAAACTGAATATATGTTCAGTTTAATGCAAGAACATTATCCTATTCATGTTAACTATATGGGATTAATTTGTTGATTATGCAAGAAAGTTAACTCTTGTATACAGCTTTTTCTTTATCGTGAAAGTGTTCTTTCTTTTTTTTAACCCAAAAGGCATAACAAGAAAAATAAAATGTGAGAAGTGAGTGACCCTGATCCACTGCCAGATATAAACACTGTGTTGGTCCAATGTCTGGCTGGTGGAGTAAAGATAAACAGTCAGTCACATATAAACACAGCCATGCTGAGTCTATCCCTCACACTCAGAGCTAACTCTTTCAATCAACAGACAAAAACATTGCACCAAACAGGAGGCAGTTATACTCAATCTTAGTCTTATTGGGTGTTTCTACTACTGCTTTTTCATGGATTCAGGAACAAACCTCGGTTTCGTCCATAGGAACTATGACTACATTTGGCTCATGTAAAAAAAAACGTTATTGTACTAGAACTATCAAGGCAGTTGTGCAAGTTGCTGACTGGTCAAACAGAGCCAGCAGCTTCTTTAACTTCCTTCATTTACAAAACAAGGAAGCATTCTACTATTGATATTTGGACATGGGTTTTTCCAGTGTTTATTTATGTTAAATATACAGCTAGCATTTGTTTTTGTCTTCCCCACCAATTTAGTATACTGTACTTGTGTCTGTAAAGGTATCAACAGAGACAAAATTGGTCACATGAGAAATAGGAGATATTGAGTTTAATTGTGAATGTCCTCAACAATGTACAACCCAAATGCTAACATTAGTAGGGTGATCTGAAATGGAGATAGAAAGATATCCTGTGTAGTGTTATTGTGGAGTAGGTCTACTAATTTGAGTAATTGCCTTCCTGCCATCAAAAACTGTATATTGGATTTGCAGATGTTGTGTGTGTGGGATTTTAAATATTACAAATCAGGTCCTCAGCAGTATATGCAGCATATGTTTAGTTGGTTGTTTGTCTTGCAATTGATTTATGCTTGTCACTTGAACATAGATTTTTAATTGTTGATCTAAGCATCTTTTGCTGTTTCCAGTCCCAACAAGACGGAATTCATCAAGGGCAAATATCAGATGTTGGTGTATGTCCATCGCATGCCTTGTCGGGAGGATGACAGTGTTACTGCAAAAGACCTCAGCAAGGTGAGAAATGTATATATTTTTGGTTTAGTGTTGACTTCTTTTTTAGATGCAATAATAACCGAAATTGGTCCCATGGGAATAAGCTAGAGCAACCAATGGTGCTTTAGCAAAATAATGCTAAACACTTCAAGTTGCACTCGTACTTCCCCATTGCACAGCAAGTGCTTTTAGATTTTTGGTCTATGATATATGTGACCACTTCCTTTACATTTCAGAATGGTTTGTCCCATTTATAGATTAGCATTGAGCACTCAGTGCTTCTATTACATACTTCCATGTTTATTTACAGACTATGCCTCTGTATATAGTAAATCCTAATTGTCCAACCTCAAGTTGTGCGAGAGCTCCCTCTATTTCAATCTCCCATTGTATTTGTGATCTGAATTCTGTATTATTTCTTACAAATAATTCCAGATCAAGCTGAATTCTTGAATCTTGTTATTTAAAAAGAGAAAAGTGCATCTAGGTCTATAGTCTTTGCATTAGAAGGATACATGTTCTTTTCTCCACAACTCTTTTTAAACATGTTCCCTGTGTTCACTTGCAGTTAAATCACTTTTTAGTCAAACTAATTCCAGCAGGATAATTTCATGTCACTCTGTTTTGGGATTGTGCATCTATTGAAGCCAGCACTGTGCAGATGCACTTTACAATCAGAATAAAACAAACTTTTTGTCGATCTCCTTTCAGCAACTGCACTCCAGTGTTCGGACTGGAAACCTGGAGACCTGCCTGAGACTCTTATCTCTGGGAGCACAGGCCAACTTCTTCCACCCAGTAAGTGTTGCAGAAAAACCAACACCACATTTTGTGAGGTAAACATTGACATTCTGCTAATGCTTCATCATTGTGATTTTTTTGGGGGGGAACAGGAGAAAGGCAACACTCCACTACACATAGCAGCAAAAGCAGGACAAATGTTACAAGCAGAACTGTTGGCAGTTTATGGAGCTGATCCGGGGGCTCTGGACTCCAGTGGAAAGACCCCCATCGATTATGCAAGGTAAAACGAGGCCAATGTTTTTAATTAACCACAGGCTTATCTCTTACTTTATTGTTCTAAACAATGTTTATTAAGTACGAGCAGTGGGAACTCTGTAACAACACAATGTAATATTACTGATCATTATCATTTTAGAGTTGCCACAAAATTTAACTTGTCGTTTTAAAGCAGGGGTGTCCAAACTACGGCCCGGGGGCCAAATGCGGCCCGCAGGCCATTTTAAATCGGCCCTCAGTAAATTAAGCTTGAGCTTGTCTTGAATTGTACTTCTTAAACATATCTGTAAACATATATTACACAGTAGTATTCATGTGTTTTAATAAGCACACTTTCAGTCAATTAAAGTTGAAAATATGTTCTAACAAATCTAAGTTGATAAGATAAAAGCCCAATAACTTATTTACATAACAACCTTGACATATAACCTTCCTATTTCCTCTTATGATAAGCAATCTAAGGCTTCTGTTTTAAGGAATGAGCTGCCAACAAAATAAATGAAACCCTATGGAAAGCTGTCATGTAGGCTTTTGTATCCAGCATAATTGACTTACAATTGATTGATTGATTTAGCTAACTTATAACTTCACTTATGAGGCAATAAACCTCACTTCTAGTGAGTGGCCCAGCCCTTCGATTATTTTTCTGTATGTGGCCCTCAGTGAAAAACGTTTGAACACCCCTGTTTTAAAGCATTGAAGTGTGTTGAAAGCCATAGTTAGTTCACAGGCCACCTCCATTTCCCATTATTTTGTGCAAGTGCTTGTGTCTCACAGTGTATGAAAAAAAACGTTGAAGTTTTCACTGTTGCTGCTGCATGACTAACCTTAAGTGTGACTGCAAGCACCGCTCTCACAGGCTCAGCCCAGCTCACTAGTGGCAGGAAATGATACACATCCTTTCGGAGATTGAATGCAGTTGCATGGTACACAGACACAAAGTGTGTGTGAAATGTGGGCTATTTATATATAGAGGTGGTATGAGGAAATAACGTACACACGAAGAAACTAGTAGGAAAACAAATAGTGAGAAACCATCTCCAGCTAAAATGGCTGAAGTATTTGCATGCCTTGCACAACATTGAACATTAGACGCAGTGGCATTCTGTCAGCGTCTTGTAATTCAATAAGAGTATGACTAACTGAGGCAAGACAAAATCTCAAGAAAAGTTGTTCTAGAGGACTTGTTAAAGATTGAAAAAACTCCAAGAAATAAAGAATAGATAGGAACAAATATAAGAGAGAAAAGATCTAGAAACTACGGTGGCCCTGAAGTGCAAGACACCACAGCATTTCAGAAAACACCACAGCATTTCAGAAAACACTACAGCATTTCAGAAAACGCCACAGCATTTCAGAAAACACTACAGCATTTCAGAAAACACCACAGCATTTCACATTGGACGGAAAGGGTATTCCTTTAGGGAGAACACTTCTTGTTTGTGATTGGACAGAGCCAGCCAGAGAAGCACTGCTGTGATTGGTTGTTTTTGCTGCCAGTCAAGAAATAACGCTTCGTGATTGGTCAACACCCGACAGAGAAATATGTCCCAAGTCATCAGCCGTTCGCACACACTCAGAGCTCACAGCTCCTCATATCTGTTTAGAAACTGGACACAAGTTAAACATGTACAAACCACAGACTGTCTATGTCATGGCGAATACAGTTGCTGCTTTATTTATGTCTGTATGACGTTGTTGTGAGTGTGGACGGAGCAGCAACAGGTTAGTTTAGCCTGATGGGTCCGATTCCATTCAGAAAACACGCATTTTAAAAGCTTTTCGCATGCCGTCTTATCTGCAGACTTGTCAAAGCGTTAATTCATGGTTTTTACTAACCGTTATCAGTATGTAGTTACTTCGGCATCACTTTGAAACGTGTATTACAATTAAATCACGGTCAAATATGTTCATTTTGTTGTAGTTGATTTACATGGAGATACGCCTCGCCCCCTCTCCAGCGCCTCTTGTTTGAATGACAGGAGCAAACACAGCTGACAGCCGCGGTGAAACTCGAGCGATTAGAGCGATGCGAATATTGGGTGGTCTACCATAGTATTTACATGGAGATAAGCCCCTTAAAAACCATGAATTAATAAAGGATTAATTCTGTGTTTACTCCTGTCATTCAAACAAGACGCTGGAGAGGGGGCGGGCCGTATCTCCATGTAAATCCTATCGGAATCGGATCGATCAGGCTAAACTAACCTGTAGCTGCTCCGTCCACACTCACAACAACGTCATACATACAGACATAAATAAAGCAGCGACTGTATTCATTACATTACATTGCATTTAGCTGACGCTTTTATCCAAAGCGACTTACAATAAGTACATTCGACCAGGAAGACACAACCTTGAAGAAAACAGAATCATATAAGTACATCAGGTTTCATAGAGCCAAACATTTCAAGTGCGACTCAACTGGCTTTAGATAAGCCAGTCCTTTATTAGTATATAAGTGCTTTGTTAATAGTTCTATCGCTCGAAGTGGAGTCGAAAGAGATGAGTTTTCAGTCTGCGCCGGAAGATGTGCAAGCTATCTGCTGTCCTGATGTCAATGGGGAGCTCATTCCACCATCTTGGAGCCAGGATAGCAAACCCACGTGTTTTTGCTGATGGGAACTTGGGTCCCCCTCGCAGCGAGTCGTTTGGCTGATGCAGAGCGTAGTGCACGCGCTGGGGTGTACGGTTTAACCATGTCCTGGATGTACGAAGGGCCAGATCCATTCGCAGCATGGTAAGCAAGTACCAGTGTCTTGAAGTGGATTCTAGCAGTTACCGGAAACCAGTGAAGGGAGCGAAGGAGCGGAGTGGTGTGGGAAAATTTAGGAAGGTTGAAGACCAGACGAGCCGCTGCATTCTGGATGAGCTGCAGAGGTCGGATGGCACATGCAGGTAGACCAGCCAGGAGGGAGTTGCAGTAGTCTAGGCGTGAGATGACGAGAGCCTGGACCAGAACCGGCGTCGCTTTCTGAGTCAGCTGGGGACGTATCTTCCTGATGTTGTAAAGCGTGTATCTGCAGCAACGGGTTGTAGCAGCTATGTTTGCAGTGAAGGACAGGTTGTTATCTAGGGTCACACCCAGATTCCTTGCAGTCTGAGTCGGGGAAACAACTGAGGTGCCGATGTTGATTGTTAGGTCAAGAGTGGGACAATCTTTTCCCGGAAGGAAGAGCAGCTCAGTTGCTCACTGAGAGATGTCAGCTAGACAAGCAGAGATGCGTGCGACGACCTGGGTCTCTGAGCGGGGAAAGGACAGAATTAATTGGGTGTCGTCAGCGTAGCAGTGGTATGAAAAACCATGCGGGCTAATGACTGATCCGAGTGAGTTTGTGTACAGGGAGAAGAGGAGGGGACCAAGAACAGAGCCCTGAGGGACCCCTGTAGTTAATTGACAAGGGTCGGACTCAGACCCTCTCCAAGTCACCCTGTAGGTACGGTCTTTCAGATATGAGGTGAGGAGGGAAAGTGCAGAGCCTGAAACTCCAAGTTTTTGGAGAGTGCGAAGGAGGATCTGATGATTCACCGTGTCGAATGCAGCAGACAGGTCCAACAGGATGATGACAGAGGAGAGGGATGCAGTTTTGGCAGTGTGCAGTTCCTCCGTGACAGCAATGAGAGCAGTTTCTGTGGAGTGACCTGCCTTGAAACCAGACTGGTGCGGATCCAGAAGGTTATTCTGATGGAGATAACAGGAGAGTTGTTTAAAGACAGCGCGTTCAAGTGATTTAGACAGGAACGGGAGGAGAGAGACAGGCCTGTAGTTTATAACATCTGACGGGTTGAGAGTGGGTTTCTTTAGGAGAGGGTTTACTCTTGCCTCCTTGAGACTGTTTGGAAAGTGACCAGAAGTTAGAGAAGTGTTGATGAAATGGGTGAGAAACGGTAGAATATCAGGAGCGATAGTCTGAAGGAGGTTTGAAGGGATAGGGTCCAGAGGACAGGTGGTAGGGCGGGCAGAGGTAATGAGGGTAAGAACCTCACTTGGAGAGAGAGGGGAAAAGGAGGTTAGTGTGTTGGTGGAAGGAGGGTCTGGTGACCCAGCGGTGAGTAAAGGTGAGTCAGAAAAAGAAGAGCGAATATCATCAACCTTTTTTTCAAAGTGGGTAACAAAGTCGCTTGACAGGAGGGGGGAGGGGCTTTTGGAGGGTCCAAGAGGGTGGAGAAGATGGAAAATAGTTTTTTAGGATTGGAATAGGAAGATTGGATCTTATCTTGAAAGAAAGTGCTTTTTGCCTGAGAGATCGAAGCAGAGAAAGAGGAGAGGAGAGCCTGATAGGTTAGGAGGTCGTCACGGTGTTTGGATTTCCACCGTTTCTGCTCTGCTGCCCTAAGGACGGTTCTATTAGCACGCAGTGCATCATTTAGCCAGGTAGCAGGAGGGGACTGACGAGCCTGCCGAGATGTGAGAGGACAGAGAGAGTCCAGAGTGGATGAGAGAGTAGAGAGGAGAGTTTGAAGGCAGAGTTTGAAGGCAGGAGTTGGAACGAGTCAGAGGAAGGGAGGGCTGAGAGCTGACGAGGCAAAGGTAGAGGGGGAGAGGGAACGAAGGTTACGGCGGACAAGTGCAGGATGAGAAGAGACTAGTTTATGTTTGGAAAGGGGTAGAGAGAATGAAATGAAGAAGTGATCGGATGTGTGGAGCGGATTTACAGAGAGGTTAGAAGTAGCGCAGTTCCTTGAGAATATGAGATCAAGGACATTGCCAGCTTTATGAGTCGGTGGGGATGGAGACAGTGAGAAAGCAAAGGCGGTTAACAGGGATGTTAGTTCGTCTATCTTCCCTGTCTGGAGGTTGAAGTCTCCGAGAAGTACAGCGGGAGGGCCAGTTTCAGGGATGTGTGAGAGGAGATTATCTAATTCCTCCAAGAAGTCCCCCAAGGCGCCTGGTGGACGGTAGAGAACAACAATGGTTAACTGTATAGGATGGGTTACTGTGACGGCATGGAATTCAAAGGTGGAAGGAGTGAAGTTAGGTAGCTTGAAGAGGGAAAAGCTCCATTTGGGAGAGAGCAGGAGACCAGTGCCACCTCCTCTGCCAGTTGGTCTGGGTGTATGGGAGAAGGAATATGCAGTGGAGAGAGCTGCTGGGGTGGATGTGTTGGATGGAGTAATCCAGGTCTCAGTGAGAGCAAGGAAATACAGAGACTGCAGGGAGGCGTAGCCAGAGATGAAGTCAGCCTTAGGAACAGCTGACTGGCAGTTCCACAGGCCACCAGAAACTAGATGTCAGTGGAGCATGTGGGATAGATGAGAGCAGGCCGGTTATATCGATTAGGAGATACACCGGGCCAGTGATAATTGCGAGAAGACACATGAACAGGAATGGAGAAAATACACATGATTATAGCATGAGGGGCTAAACAACTAAAGAAAAGAGAAATAAGACACCAGCTCAATCAGAGTAGGATTTGCCTCCTCTTTGCCTCCCTCGTGACTCCCGTAGGACTCTAATGTCTTTGTCAGTCTTACTCCCGTAGGACTCTAATGTCTTTGTCAGTCTTCGGCTGTCTGACGCTTAAGCTGACGCTCCAGGAAAGAGCTACCTAAAATGGACGCCTGATTGCTGAGTTCTCACAGCTGTAGGGCCTAATTAGTTAACTATCTACAGCTGATGGGCGACAGTAGACTGGCCCTGCCTATATTGTAATGCAGGCTTGAGTGCTGAGACCTGTGTAGCAGGTTTCGCCTGAGCAGATCTGAGATTTAAAATCTCTCAAAAGCGCCGTTTTAGCTACAATAACTACAGAACAATTATACAGAGTAGAATAAATGAAACAGAGCAGTCTAATTAAACAAGAATATAACTTACAGTGGTTGCTGCGTCAATAGGTAAAATCTTCACCCGGTCCAGATGCACACTCAGTTCATCAGATTTTAAATGTGGTATTTAAATGCTTTTTTAGGTGAAAGATGACTGAGTCACGCTGTTGTACTTCACGCAATCAGTAGACTGGCCCTGCCTATATTGTAATGCAGGCTTGAGTGCTGAGACCTGTGTAGCAGGTTTCGCCTGAGCAGATCTGAGATTTAAAATCTCTCAAAATGACATAGACAGTCTGTGTTTTGTATATGTTTAACTTTTGTCCAGTTTCTGAACAGATATGAGGAGCTGTGAGCTCTGAGTGTGTGCTAACAGCTAACGGCTGATGTGTTGGGCCAATCACGCAGCGTCATTTCTTGACTGGCAGCAAAAACAACCAATCACAACAGTGCTTCTATGGCTGGCTCTGTCCAATCACAAACAAGAAGTGTTCTCCCTAAGGAATACCCTTTCCGTCCAATGTGAAATGCTGCGGCGTTTTCTGAAATGCTGCGGCGTTTTCTGAAATGCTGTAGCGTTTTCTGAAATGCTGTTGTGTTTTCTGAAATGCTGTTGTGTTTTCTGAAATGCTGTGGTGTCTTGTACTTCAGGGCCACCGTAAGAAACATTGTCTTGTTTAACTTAAAAATCAAAGTAAGACACTTATTTCATGCTTTTTCTGGGATAAGAGGCTTTGTGTCTAAGAATGGCCAGCTATCACACCACACCTATTTCAGTTGTATGCTTATTACTTTACACATTACCAGAGTTTTATCCCATTAGAAATGTACTGTGTTTTTTAACTATGTTTCCACTAAATCTGGTCATACCTACCTGAGGCATTCGGTAGCTTTAGCACAGAGCCATATCTCTGAATCATGACCTTTTTAATTCCTAATGTGTGCAGACAAGCTGGGCATCAGGATCTGGCAGAGAGGCTGGTGGAGATACAGTACGAACTCACTGACCGCTTAACATTTTACCTCTGTGGAAGAAGACCAGGTAAGGAGTTTAGCTGCTGCTGCTGCTGCTGCATGGCGTTTGAGAGCTGATGGGTTTTTGATAATGATATTCTGTTATTATCTTTTCATTGTAGATCACAGAAATGGGCAACACTTCATCATTCCACAGATGGCAGACAGGTAATAGCTATGTTTTAAGTTGTTGATATTTTTTTTTATAAACAAAAACCAACCTCTGACAAGCTACTGGCTGCTTGTCTATGCTAAAGGTTTTACTTGGACTAATTCATACTTATTTGTCCAATGCTGCGTTCTTATGATGGATTAGAAATGAGTAAGTATGCTGTTCCAATGTGTTTCTGTTTGCCTGTTTGTGTGGAATTTTGTTAGCAAAAAAAGTTGATTTGAATATTTCTTTCTGCCCAAAGCAGCCTGGATTTGTCAGAGTTTGCAAAAGCTGCAAAGAAGAAGCTCCAGTCGGTAAGATATCAGAATTCCTTTTTTGTTGCCACAGAGGGGAAATGTACATTGTTACAGCAGTATAGATGGAGAATACAAATAACACACTATTAGATAAGAAAAGGCATGCACATAGTTTGTAAAATAAATGTACAGACCTACACATTCATGGAAAATAAGTAAGTAAGCATTATTTATAAAATAATTGTAACATTGTAGAATACTGTGTGGTAGTGGGTTGATTGCAGTGGTAAATAGAACTGAAATGAGATATTTACATGGTAACATAGAGATTATTGTTGGAATGGACAACCTAAGAATTAGCAGCCAGTAGTTATTCCATCAGATGCAAGGTCTGCATTTCTTTCTATTCAATCGTGTGACAACTTCTTCTTTTATTATGTTTCCAGCTGAGTAATCATCAGTTTGAGGAACTTGCCATGGATGTTTACGATGAAGTCGACAGAAGAGAAACGGATGCAGGTGAAATTGCAAGAAGTGTAACAAATATAAAATAACCATTATTTGTATCCCAGTTTTTTTGTATGTATATCTTAAATATATTTATATGTTGTACAGTGTGGTTGGCCACTCAGAACCACAGCACACTGGTTACAGACACCACAGTTGTGCCTTTTCTTCCGGTCAATCCAGAGTACTCATCCACCAGGAACCAGGCAAGTCATGGCACCAATGTAGCCTTGTGTTTATTTGTGTATTTGAAGACTTGATTCAACAGTGCAGCCTTTATTTTTAAATCTATTTGTTTTTTTCAGGGTCGTCAAAAATTGGCACGGTTTAGTGCTCATGAATTTGCCACCCTGGTTATTGATATTCTCACTGATGCTAAACGGCGGCAGTGGGGTAATTCCTGCGACAGTCCCAAAGGTACAATTTATCTGTTTATTTTTTATAACCAACTTTGAAATTCCTTGCTATTATACTTTTTGTTTTCTTTTATTACGGTTTTTATGGAAGTGAATATATTCACTAGCATACACACAGTAATAAACACTAAGAATAAAGAGTTGCAATTAGTTGCATATCAAAGTGGAGCATGTGGGTTCCAGTTATATATGCCAACATTAGTATGTGGACCATATGTACGGATGTTTGTGCAAAAAACGGGGCCAAAAACAGATCAGGGCTTTTTCTAATTAAAACTGCATTCTGTAAATCAGTGCTTCTCAAAGTGTGGTCCGCGCCCCCTAGTGGTCCGTGAGTATATTGGTAACATTTCACATTTGAAATAAATAAATAAATGTAAGTTTTCCGCACTCTCGCGGGAATATCTCCGCAATGGAGCGAGCTTTAGTTTCACTTTTGATTGCATGATATAGCCCAGCGCAACACCTTCGTCACACATGTTGCCACCTGTTTGTACCATTTTCAGGCGATTTGTAAAAATCTGTGTTTTTGGATATTTGTGGAGTTAGGTGGTCCGCGAGTGTTTTTTTTATTGGTTAAGTGGTCATTGGTATGAAAAAGTTCGAGAAACACTGCTGTAAATAATGCAAACACATCACAGACTGCTTTAAAGTCAAGGGTGTTCTAAAGATTCAGTAAATGGAAAGAAATATGTTCCTTTAGCTTTGTGATTTATACAGCTGCTTGTAGCCTGCAGGGCCTGTTTGATCTCTAATGCTTTGATCTGGTGGTCTGCCTTCAGAGAACGTGGAGTTGATCCTTCAGGGAATAGACAGTCGCCATAACAGTGACAGCCAGGATAATGACCAGCCTGATTACGACAGTGTGGCATCAGATGAAGATCCAGTGCACGAGGCCACCTGTGGGGACAGCAGCACTGACCGAAGGACCAAGGTTCATGTTTTTATTGACTTCACATATTTTAAAAACATAATTGTATTCACATTTCAACTCATCAAATGTTGTCTGCTGCAGAGCTCAGAGTCATCTGACCTCTCCGATGGACCAATCACAGTGCATGAATTCATGGAGGTGAAGACTGCCCTCACTGCATCGGAAGCCAAAATACAGCAGCTTCTCAAGGTCAACTGTCACCTCAGTGAAGAGCTGCGGAGCATGCAGGGCAAGGTTCGTCAATTACACTCATTCATAAGCAAACTGGTTATTGTAGATCAGTTTTGTTTTGCAGTTGCAAACTCTACATGCCCTCATAGTTTCATTTCCACCTCTTTAATTAGATGGTAGTACACATTGATATTTCAATAGCCATAATTAGATGTCACTTTGTACTGGATGTATGGTATTTACATCCTCTCTGATGCTGGTGTTGCAGCCTCTTTATTCTTAAGCAATTGAACATATTGGTTGGTGTGTGCAAAACTTGATCTATGTTACATTTAGTTATTTGATTAGTAATATATGTTCGGGTCATGCCTGTTTCCACGTGTCAGACATTGCCTCTACCCTATAGAGTTCTACAGTGGATACATTTTGAGTTGCAGAGAATACCAGATGTATTTTGATAAAGATGCCATAAAAAGGTCATACGGAAATATTGAAATGTGTTCAGTGCTAGTGCTACAGAGAAAATGTCTGCTATGATTCCAGCTGGGGTAGAATTCCTGTGGTAATAATTAACAATCACCAGACTTCCTCTGCTATGCTGCTCAGTGAAAAGGCAAACAAGATCTGATTTGATAGTTCTTTGTGGTCTAAAATAGATTGAGGATTCACTAGTCATGTACAAATCAACAAATAGTTACCATAGAGGAAATGATGATTCATCCTCTTGAATCAGAACGATCATGCAGTCGCCATCCAAAAACAACCTAAATGTTGCAGTGATTAGAGTTTGAGTGTGGGCGAGTTATCAACTCCTCACTCCCTCTCACACCTCCAGAAGGCCTGCAGCACCATTGGCAGCACACAGCCAATCTCTCTGCTGTAGGTTTATTCTAGTCACATTTCATCCTTCACTTCCTTATTTCTTAGAACTTCAAAAAGCCCCACTTGGCCTCAGCGTTATTTATACAGCATGTTTTATTCAGTGTTACTTGCTAAAGTTTTAAAGAATATCCTACTTTGTTAAGAGTTCTGCCCTCGATCCAATACTGAGTGATATATAAAATCAAAAGCAGTACCTGGGTCAAGAAACAATTTCCTGTTACTAACCCTAATCTTAAATACACCGACCCTGCTGTGGACTGTTTTATGACTATTCTTACTTATTTTTTTGTTAACATATTTCTACAAAATCTATCTGTTTTTGGAGGGACATTGAATACACATTTTTGAGATTTGGCAATCATATTTTAATCTGTCTTGATTGTTTATAGTGTTTTTCTTTCTTCACTCAGTTCTAAGTAAATAAGTGTAAATGGGGTAATACCCTCTCAACCAAATACATGTTGATTACTCTGACCTTGAAATGTTCAAATAATATCTTATCTAACTCATCTTATGAATGAATGTATGTCTGCCTGTCCTCAGTTGTCACCACTAACACCTGATAATGTTGCCAAGTGTATCATCTTGGGAGCATGCTTAGAAAATAGTATATAAAGAAAGACGACAAGGTTTGTCACTCACTGACCCATGTTGGTAGATGGCAGCATTCAGTCTGGTTTTCTTGTATGCATCACAGCTCTCCAGAACCCAGTTTCTTTCTGTCTTCACTTGGCTGGGAGACAGTGTTAACACGATGTACCTACTGCTGCTTTATTTACTTCATAACAATACTGCTTCTATTTGACAAAAGTGACTTTCCATTTCGGTCCCTTATCTTCATTACCAAAACGTAATTGCTGAAACAGTGGAACCGCAAGATATCTCCTTACTTGTAAACTAAAAAGCTTCTAAAATCCCTTATTTAATGTTTTGTATGTTGTTCATTTGTTGACTTGTGATAACTTGCATAACAGTAAGGAGAAAGTCATGTTTCCCATTGCTCTTTCGAGGCCTGTGAATGTAAATAAGGGCAACTCCTTATGTGTCAGCATTTCACTTCTCAAGAATCAAACCTTTTAACGTGAGAAACCCAAAACAGAGGTGACGGTGAACTGGGCATAGATAAAGTGTTTCTCTCCCTGAGGCAAGTGTGTGTGTTACTCTATTATTAATGTGTGGCCGAGCTTTTGTAAGGAGATCATCCCCCAGCCAGAGCTGACTTGAAGGATGTTTTGTTCTCTGCAGCTGAACTCCCTGCAGACTGAAAACACAACACTGCGATGGCAACCCCCCAGCGGACAACAACAACACCTACAGGGGCCCTTAGGTCGACACCCGCCCCGCGGCGGCCGCGCCATGTCCATGTATGAGACCGGCTCTTCCCCGAGGCAGTACCCCCACCGAGTGGAGGCGGCTCGGCATGAGGACGGAGTCGTTTTACAACCCTTCCCTACCAACGTAAGCTCAGAAGCACTCATGTTCCCGCCGGATTGTCATCACGAGACAATAATCATGATGCCTGGCTTGGGGCTGGTGATGGTTTTTCATTCAATCATTCATTCAATCATTCATTGCATCTCATTTTAGAGTATGCTCAACTTGGTTTGACCCCTTTCTAGATTGGGAGGGGTCCTTTGGGGACGGCTGCTTCCTCCCTCCCTACCTTCCCCTCTTCCCTGTCCTGGTCGTGGGACGAGCGATCTCGAAGGGTTAAGTACTGAAGTTCCCCTCGGCTCAGAGGCAGCCCCGGGGGACGGTGCACACTGTCCCCCCTGCTTGACCCCACAGCCTTCTCTCTCCTCTTGACCTGTATCTTTGAACTGCTTTTGATCAGTATGGCCTGCCTGCATGCATGCACCACAGTGCCTCTGCTTCAGTTCAGTTATCTGAACAAGTTTGCTTCCACAGAGAACCTTAACCAGAGCTGCTTTGGCTAATGTAAACATCACAGGTGATAGAAATGTTGGACCAGCTGGGGAAGCTGTTTGGATGATCAGACAGCAGAGTCCTATGTCAATGAGTCAAATAAAATGTCTCATCACAATGTGCTTATTAGTCATTGACACTGGTAAGAGCACCCACAGTTTACATCAGGATTTCTTCGCCTCTACTAATCGCATCCACTGCAGAATGAGCTGTATGACACTGCAATGACCTGGTTTACATTTCCTGTCTGTTTCTCTTCATCAGCTTTGAAACCAAATGTCTGATGCTGTGAACTGTCAGAAGTGCATGATTCCAATTTCTATGTGCCTACAGTTGCCCTGGCAATTTGTTTTTTGTTATGCAAGTGTTTATTGTATTTGATTGATGTTAATTTATGTTTACATTTACTGATCTCTCTATAGGGCTGCAGTCTGGAAGGACAGAGTATGATGCTGGAGAACGATTACGACACTACGCCCAACCACTCCACTGAAATGGAGGAAGCTGGGTGAGAACATTTGTTTTAACTTTATACACAACTGTCCAAATGTTTTCTCTGTGATGGTTTGAACCAATTTATAGATTTTCAACACCATAGAAATCCAGGTTCTGGGAATGGTGACGTCATCGTAGCAGTGCTATTCAAAGTTAAAGGTCACACAAAGACAGAGGAGGAAGCTAGACTAATATTAGTTTTGACAGATGTTTGAAAAGAGGCCTTGATTTGAACAGTCTGGCTGTACAGGAGTAAGTTTACATATTAGAACTTGTACCTGAAAGCTAACAGTTATAAAAAGTCAACATGAGCCGAGCCAGGCAGGTCATCCACCTCTGGTTGTTCTTTAACATTGATGTTCATGTAGTGCTGATATAGTCATCTCTATTGCCTCCTGGTTGAGTAGCTATATGGATGAAACTTGTTCTTGAATACCGACTGTAGCACATTCAAAGCTCATTTTATGTTGACTACTATCAAAGAGTTTTTTGGTTTTTCACAAGAGTTTGGTTCATTCAGCCTCTTATAAACCCCAAATTGTGATGGCTTGTCAAGATACATTATATAAACTTTGTCTGTATGGGTCAGCTGTGATAAAGCCATTCTTTGTTTTTATTTGCAGCAGCCCTCTTCCATCCTCTGAATCAGTGGCACATGGAGAGGAGGGTGAGGATGATGGCACCCTGCCGTGCACAGAGGACGTCATCTGTAAGACGGAGCAGATCACCAAGAACATTCAGGAGCTGCTGAGAGCCGCCCAGGAGACCAAGCATGAAAGGTAGTTTATGACTAATAGAAAACTATTCAAAAACAAACCACCTTATTCATTTACGTGCTGTAATAAAAGCATAGACTTTGTTTTTTTCATGGCTGTATTTCTGTCATTCTGCTTGTCAATAGTAAATAGCAGAGGTGGGGACTCGAGACACATGACTTGACTCGCATATTTTTTGACTTGAGACTTGCTTGACTAATATTGATAAAAGACTTGACTTGACTTTGACTTGGTATTCATGACTTGAGACTTGACTCGAATCTCACCACAGTGACTTGGGACTTGCTTGATACTTGCACATGTAGGACTTACTCCCACCTCTGGTAAATAGTATTTCATTCTCTTTAAGCTGCTTCTAGGTCAGCTGTTCTCAATAGTTCACCCCAGGGCCCAGAACTATGATGGGTTTAGATTATAATAGCCAGCTAACCAGTGACTTATTAACATCTGATTTAATGGCAATTGCGGTTTTATAGTAAACCAGCAGCTCTCAGTAATTTGAGCCTTTTTATAGCGTGGCCTCTGTCTTGAAAACTGTGTCTGCTGGGGGTAAACAGTGGCTCTTGAAATGCAGCTAACAGCAAACACCACATGACCATCTATTCCCCTGTGACCGGCCAAATCCACAGCAAGTTAGTGTAGTCAAACTGGTTTTCTTTATTCATCCGTGTCTGTTTACAGTAACAATTTACTGTTAATATTTTCCTGGTTTTTATCATGATGTTTTGAGTTATTGGATGTTGTCCATTTTACCCGATCCTAGTTTTTCTTCAGTTTCAAATTTTTTCAATCGAAACCATTTAAGAGATATTCTCAAGGGTTCAAATTAAAAGAAAGTGGTTCCTGGTAAAAACATCATTTCAATTTGATCTCTATTAGTGGCCCTAATGTGCACACATACTATAGTAATAAATGAAACAACAGTAAGTGCTTTTCCCAAGGAGTCAGGGGCCTAATGTCGGCTTTCAGTGTGATTCTTGGCTCCTTCGGTTAGAGCTTTGGTCTCTCTGGGCAAATGAAACTGCTTTCACTTTGAGTACAAGTCATGATGTTGATGACAGCTGTTTACTTTGAAGCCTCTGCTAGCCCAGTGTTGTATTTGCTCTTTTTTTTGTTGCTTTGGTGACACATATCATCCAAGCTATATGTCAGCTCATAATCAAATACAGTAGAGGGGCAGTGTGTCAGACATTTTGAATGTTTACAGAGCTGTGCAAAAAGCAGTCATTATTGTTATAAGTTTGTGCAAACATCTCAAATTTGATCGAAATGTGCAGTCTGCTGTATTTCTAAATAGTGCTTACTGTTGGCACAGGGAATCTGGCCTCAGGCTGCTCTTTCTCGTAATATCACATGTTGGCTGTTGAGCATTGTTGTATCTATAAATGGCACAGGAGTGGTTGATCAGCCTTTTGTCTTTATCTCCCTCAGCTTCCTGCCTTGTTCAGAAAAGATCTGCGTGGCTGTGAAAGAGATGGCCGCCCTGTTTCCCAAGGTAAGATGACTCTGACCCACAGCTTCAAATCCCTCCCCCGAGCAATTAAGGGATTTATTTTTTGTTGGAAAACAGCCAAAGGGAACCTTTTAATGACTTGTCTAGACAAAGTAGGACCTGTTCATTGCATGACTTAGTTATACATGTACAGTTAATCGGATTACTTTGCTTTTATGTTTACTGACACACACAGCCTGCTGACTACAATGAGGGTTTATTTATGGTGGTTGTCATCTTATCAAGTCTCCATCATCGTTCCTTCCCCCTCACAGAGGCCGTCTTCGGACACGGTTCGAGGGTCTCTGTATCTCCTCACGTCCAGCGCCAGCCGACTGCACGGAGAGTGCCAGAAGGCCGCAGAGCACAACCCCTGCCCGTCGGACATCCAGCTGGTCACTCAGCAGGTCATCCAGTGCGCCTATGACATTGCCAAAGCTGCCAAGCAACTTGTCACTGTGACAACCAAAGAAAACAATAACTAACTAAAAATCCAAAGACATTCCTGATGCACCCAAAATAGTTTATTTAGATACCGCTAATTTTTGTTTAATCAGTGTTAACACGCTTTTTTCTAATTAGGCGGCAATTATTTACGTACATTCCTTAAAAAAAACAAGATGCACCATGTAAAATGACAGACCAATCTAAACATTATTGTGATGTTTTTGTATCATGGGTAATACAGAGTAAACAAACACCTTTAAAGCTGTAGGATAGAATCTGTTACGCCTCTTAACCTCACAAAGAGATAACAGTTTAATCCACACAAAATCCAAAAGTGCAATGTTGTGTGTGTGTGTATATAAACAAAGAACAACAAGCCTTCTACATTGTACTTTTCCACATAGAGGTCATCATATAGATACACCTTTATCTACACCATTGTCATCTGTTTATTTTCCTTTTTTATTTGAAATGTTTTTAAGATGCAATGACAGTATTTTAGTCTTGAACCATTGTGATGCCACTTGCTTAGAGTTCAAATGTTTGTTTGGTGATTATGAAAGTAGCTTCAGTGCATAGAGCACCATGTAAGGCCAGCAGTACAAACGGTGGTCTAACCTTCATTCCATCCAGCAGCTCCAGCAGGGGATTCAGCAAAGTGACAATAGTCCTTGGAGTTATAATGTTACAGCCATACTTCTGATGTTGTGTATGTGTGTGTGTGTGTGTGTGTGTGAGAGAGTGTGTCGGCGCAGTTGTCACAGAGATGGCATCGATGGCCCCTGTGAAACCCATTTTGAATCAATTTTAATAGCATTATGCAAATATATAAGATGTATGTATCTATGTAATTCTTTATCAAAATAATCCAAATGCTATTCTATTTATGAACTGTGTGTCATACCTCTAAGAAAATATTAATGTTTATTTTCATAAGCTTTTGTTTAACATGATGCTCCTCGCAGACTAACTTTTGTTCTGAGGTTTGGGACGTCTCAGCTGGCAGTGAGTTATGGGCAACCTGTGATCTCTCGTCTATTTGGTGTGGTGCTCTAACTCCAGTGTGTTCAATGCTACCTGTGGTCACATGCGTACAGCTATGGTTTACAATCACTGAAGTTAATGTGCCCTTAAAGTTAGAGTAGAACTCGGGTCTTATGTTTCATTTGTTGTTGTGAGCCAGATCAGTCTCAACCAGGGGTGTAAAGCTAACCAGAAAACACTTCACACGCCAACAACGACAATTAAATATTACTCAAGTAGCTTTACAAAAGCTTTCTCAATAGGTTGCCTGGATGGAGAACAGGTTTAAGACTCAACAAGAGGATTATTAAAATGATTCAAACTATGTTCAGTACAGATGATTACACCATTAAAGTATTCATTTTTATTTTAAAAGTAATTTTTAGTTTTGGACCAAAACCGTTCTGATGGTTTGCTTACGAGCTTGTTTTGTAACTGCATTGCACAGTCTAGGCAGTGTAATTTTTTTTTTTTATGACTTAATTAAAAAAAATAATGTCTGCATCTTTTTTTCAGGATGTTTTGACCATGCAAAAGTATTGTTATTTTCTAACAATTAATTATAAATGTGGACAGATGTTCTTAATGCAAAACGATGTAACATTCCAGTAACTCAGTCCATTATGCTTCAACCTCTTTTTAAAGTTAGTGAGTGTAATGAACTGCTGAATTGTGCATTTTATTGCTTAATAATCCAGCTTTCGTTTGTAAAAGAAGAATGTCTTATTTCCTCTTTAAAGATTTTAAAGTCATTTTAATGATAAACTTCCTGAAATAATGACGTACTATATCAAAAATACCTTCTTTGAGATACCAAGTCATTATTTTGAGGATGTCAATCATCATAATGACTTGCAAGATATATTTGTTTTAATTAAAAAAATATTGAAGTTCATTGGTGCCTGCTCTCACTGGCAGCAATGGGCTTCCATATGATGCATATTTGTTTCAACCTAATATAATGATTAATCCAAGGGATTACTAAATAAGAAAAATCCTTCTCTAGGCTATACAAAAAAAACACATTTTAAAATTACAAAATATATTTTTTAAAGTACATTTTTGTCAAAAGCTAAAATACAAATGTTTTCAGTTACTTTCCACCCCTGGTTTCAACCCTGACATTTGATATCCTGTAACTTCTAGCCTGCCACTGCCTCTGTGGTTGAAAACAATTTCTGCCTTAGGTTTAATAAAGTATAATTCATACCTCAAATATCTCATTGTCGTGTGTGTGTACTTGTGTGATGAACAAACAGCGGTATTAACACGCCCATGTATAAAGTCCCACCTGTTGGAGGAGCAGGAAAGCGATAGGGGCTGCCGGAGCTCCCCCACCCACCTCACAAGAGTTCCGGGTTCTTTCAGCCGAAAGCTGCTCGTTGCAACGGCTCTCACACGGCAGGACCATGGCTCTTTTACTGGATAACCAATTCAAAGACCTGCCTCCTGACAAGGCGATAGACACAAAGTTGTTTTTGGAGGCTGTGTCTCATATTCCTCAATTTTTTGGTGAGTGTACCCCCACTTAAACTCGATCAAACTTTAGTGTTGGAGGCGACTGTTAGTGTTATCGCAGTCACGGTTCATAGAAGGCTGACTTGTTCCTCATGACACGTTCAAGTGACCCGTCAAATGGTAGTTATTTTACACATACCAGAAGTGGAGCTGCTGCTGGGTCACGGTGAGGGGTCGGACCCAACTGTTTAGCCTAGAGAAACTCTTTGTTTACACACTGAGCAGAGCAAACATTGGCCTCATTGTGCCTTTTAACTGAGACTGCATTCACTGCATTTTCCTCCCTCTGTGTATTCACGTAAAGGCTGATCTGTATTCATCCTCCCCTCTGTCCCGGGGACTTGTGTGATGAAGTCATTCATATTTTATTGCTTTGCTCTCAAATGTCTGTTTCTCTTTCAGACTGCTTGGGATCAAACGTATTTTCAGTCATCAAATCAGACATTAATGGCAACATAACGGTAAGATACAGATCTATTAGGACTGGTGTGTTTTCATAGCACTGTCACAAATATGTAACGTGCAAACTCAACCCCAATGTGCCTTTTTCAGAAAATTAGAGCAGTTTACATGACGGATCCTGCAAAGTACGTCACCCTGCAGGACATTGTGGAGGCAGAGCGAGAAGCCCATGCAGCAGAGTGGCCTAAAGTTGGAGCTACACTAGCTTTGATGTGGCTGAAAAGGTTAAAACTCCATAAGCTTAATGTTATGTCATACTGTATGTTGAATATTCAGCTGCTGAACTAAAACAAAGGTATTTGTCTCTCCTGCAGGGGTCTCCGTTTCATACAGATCCTGCTGCAGAGTTTGGCAGATGGAGAAAGAGAGGAGAACAACCCCAACCTAATTCGGGTTAATATCACCAGAGCATATGAACAGGCGCTGAAGAGATACCACGGCTGGATTGTACAAAAGATTTTCCATGTGAGGAAAATGTCTCTTTATATGTTTTTCTTAATAATTTATGGAAATATTTTAGAAAAGTGGACGAAATCTGACCACACCATAGATTATCCTGCTTTGTTGCATTACATAATGTGTTTCTGTAATAATTTTCCATCTTATTCTTTGCTATAGTATTATATTGTATTCTTGGTAATAATAACCCTGTATTTACCTCTACATTACTGTTAGCCTAAATGATATTTTTTCCCCGTTGCAGGTAGCATTACATGCAGCTCCATACAAGTCAAACTTCCTCAAGGCTCTGTCAAAAGGAGAGGAAGTGAAAGAGGAGGACTGTCTTGCAAATGTGCGTCAGTTTCTGGTGAATTACACTGCCACTGTAGATGCCATCTACGAGATGTACACCAACCTGAAAGCAGAGCTGGACTACACTGTGTGACATCCCGGGACATCTGTCCCATCTGTCCAGGGGTCAGACGAATCCAGTTTTAAAAGGTGTTTTTAAATGAGTTACTTTTTCTTTCTGTCAGTGTGGTATACTTTGATAATGCCTTTCTAAAATTACTACGGTATATTTAGTCTTAAAATTATGAAAATGCCTTAAGATTTTAAAACATAACAAAGGGTTATTTGTTTGATTTAATTAAGGATATTCTACAGCAGCTCCTACTGTGCAGAAGGATGTTATTGTGTGTTTTATTTATGACAAAAACAGGTGGAATATCATGTATTCCACAAAGAGATTTAACAAGTCTGTAAACACTGTTATTACACGTCACAATATATGTTAAAACCTTACATTTCAAATGTTTTCTACCTCCTGAAGCAGCCCATGAAGTAGTTTAAGATTAAACAGCTTGTTTCAGCTGTGCATTATTCCACTTGTGCCTTGGTGTTACTGCAAACATATCCAAAGCTAAGCAAAAAAAATGTTTGCAATTCCATTTTACCTTCAAAGCTAAATTTAGCAGAGCCAGAACAATTGTATCAGAGGGCTTAACCGGAGTGTGTTCGTGTTCAATAGAAGGTGTGTTAGACCTTTGTTTGTATTGTATCTGGTTCTATGGGCTATTTTATTCCTCCTTGTCAGATCTGATGTGACTTCTTTTATCAGCATGAAAATGTCAAACCAAATTATTCATTCATTATTCATGTTAACAGCACATCACTTGATACATTTATTAATAACTTATATCTGCATTTTCTCTATGCACAGGCTGGTAATGAAGTATGATCAAACGTGTTTAATCATAAGATTGTAAAGTATGACTTAAAATAAAAATATAATTGTAACTACCAAGTGTCATTTCATGAAGTTCAGTTCAGTTCATGAATTGTTCTCTAGGTGGCGATATTTACTTACTTGACATCTGTGTTCCAGCTAATACAATATTTTAAATATGTTCCGGGGGAAAAAAACCGATATGGAATTTAGATACAGTTCCAGTCATAGCCAGATCTTAAATTACTCTAAACAGCAGTTCTGATTTATGTTTGTAATTTTGCAAGAGTGGATTTGTGCATTTTCAAAAGCTCTTTTGGTTGACCACAAATTGATTTGCTCTCTGAAAGACATTTCTGAGGCTGATTGCCGATTTTTTTTAATCTAAAATGATCTTGAACACTCAAACATCCGCTGTAAATTGGAGTAAAATCCTCTCTTCTTTGTGTCTCCTAATCCCCCACATCAAGCAGCCTTTTCCTCTGGCCAGTCTTACTTATCTGAAGTGTGTCCCAGAGGCCATGTGGCTCTGGTTCCTCTCCCAGAGGAGCCTGAGCTAATCGTCTCGGAGCGAGAGGAAGAGCAGCATGTCTGTAATCCTGAAGGTTTATCAGCACAGCGGCCTGGCCTGTCCCGGCTGACAGATAGGACGGAAAAGCTCCGAGCTAAGCTAGGACACAATAGGCTAAAGACAGGAAATCATTTACGACAATGCCTCAGTGACAAAGCCACTGACCTTTAACTCTGAAATAGGTTATCTGCAATGAGGTCATCAATTGAATATTGTAGATTCATTCCAAACAGTGCACCTAATGCCATTATTCACACCATCCAGCGTATTTGTTTTATAATCGTCTACTTAGAATGGGTTTTTTTTCTATGGTGGCCCAAAACAAATTACTGCTATAGCATCCAATTTAGGAAGACAAATGTAGAAAAATAAGAGGTGCAGGCACACCGCTATCTACGATTAGCAATTTAATAGCTGGCCACATAATGTGGAATCCATCTTCGAGATATCATGTATTTTTCATACATAAATGTAATTTTAGAGGTGACCTGTACATTTTCATTTCCACACATGTATTTTTGAAGTATTCAATGTCTTCTGCCTCAAGCGATGTCCATCCATCTCGACTAACGTAATTCACTATAACAAAATTAGCTATTTAAACTCGTATATAGAGGAACCAGTCCAATATCTTTCAGCCAAGGATTGATTTACATCCCATTAAAACCTGAGATCCTGCAGTGAAAGGAGACATTAATAAAAACGAGATATATGATTGAAGAATAAAGACTAGCCAGGTGGTTGAGCTTTGAATCCCTTTGCAATAAAACCAGAAATATGACTCATCTTTACACAATTAGATTATTGTTCATGAATATAATAATAACATTATAATTCTCAGCGACATGTCAAATAATGAGTAATAATATGCAATAACACAAACTATATGTTGGGTTTAGAAAATTTCATTTACTTGACAATCCTTATTAAGAAGAGGCAAAAAAGGGTTGAGGGATTAGGGTCATACATTGCAAAATGTAATTATTCCAACAACATACTTCATGGAGAGCGCTCACATTTTCATATATAATAATTGCACTTTATAATTATAGACAGTTTGCCTTATAACTCAACAGGCTGACATAAATAAATATTATTACAGAACCAGTGCAGACACAGAAAGAGCTACTCAGTCATACATCTTACACCATCAGAGATAATGTAGCCCTACAAAGAAGATATAAGGTGGCCTGCCTCTCTAACATGGCACTCATATGCACCCAGGTGTTGTGTAACATTGTCACAACCCTTTTCATTCAAGAAACAATCTCTTAAAATCAAAAAAGAAAAACAACCAAAGGGCACATCTTGCCTGGCCTGAATCGCCACAGTGTTGATTTGGATATGCAACAGTCGTAATACATTGTGCTGAGCATGAATACATGAAATCAATCAAGATGTTAAGTTACGTAACATTCTCTATGGCTGCGTAACTAAATAATATATTCACGTTTGTATACAAATGATCAAAATGTTTCCCCATACAGCAGCCAGGGAATTTGCATCATACTGCAGAAGCCTGGTGGGTTTTGAGTAACACAACAAAGCAGCAGACAACCAAACGTTCATTTAATATTTAGGAATGTTCTAATAAGAAGCCATTTTAAGGAAAACCGATATTCACCAAACCATCCTTTCCAGATTCAAGTAAATGTTTTCAGAGGGGTGCCAATGATTATTTCAGTAAAGTACATTTCCATTTTTTGTAAAAGCCTACAGGGGAATCCAAACATCTGCAAAATACATACATGTTAAAATGAAATGGGGAAATTCTGATTAGGTGCTCAGCATCAATATTTAATGAGGAACAGCAGGCATATATGATGGCCATTTCAGATATAAAAAATAGAACATCCATAAGATAAACCTGTATCTTAAGTCTTGATTATCAGTTACTGTTTCAGGCTCATAACACAAAGCCTTCTACAAATACAGTACATGCACAAACTAAAAACCCATGTCTCATTCTCACAGACGTCTAAACTTCCATCCTCTATAAAAGGTTTTGTCACTTCTGCGTCCCGTTGTTTGGCAGCCCCCACCAGCTCTTATCTGTAGACGGGCAGCTGGATGTGTGTTTGTTGGTGGTGCTCCAGTAGCGGAGGCATCCCCATGGCTTGGTAACCACGTCCCAGCATGCTCTCTTTGATGCAGGGAGGGTGGATCTCACTGATGAGGCACTCCAGAGACTGCAGGCTGCTGCTGAGTACCGCAGCGTGGCACAGGCTGGAACTAGGCAGCCCACAACAGAGGTTTTGGTCGGTGCTGTAGGCCTGGGTATGAGGAGGGTGGAGCTGAGGATGATGTCTCTGCGATTGGTGGTGTGGGTGGGGGTGGAGATGGGGATGGGGGTGTGAGAGCCCCAGGTCTATAGGCTTGCTCGCCAGCACCTGAGAAGGATAACAGTCGCTATTAGGGGTGCAGTCCCAGAGTGGAGCGTAGTACTGTCCCATAGAGAACTCCCCCTGCATGCAGTTCAGAGAGGAGCTGCTGACCCGCTCCACACTGGCAGGATGGGGTCTGTACGCCATCTGGGGGGGCAAAGGGAGGCAGATTTCAGGGGACTCGTCCTCTCTGAGCCTCTGAGCGCCGTTACTCACACTGTACATCCTCAAGGCTCCCTGCTGATAGGGCGGCTGGATTTGAGGTTTATGCTGCCACACGGAGTACTCTCCCTTCTCCAAGTATCCCGCTTTGGCTCTGTCTGCACTCTGTGTCGGGAGCACCGCCCCTGTGAAGGCGAGACTGCTCTGGGGGGGCAATCCCAGCACAAAATCTGAGTCTGAGTTTGCCACCGCGGCCACAGCCTGCAGATAGGGGCTGGCTCGAGCCTCCCCCCCCCAGCTGCAGGGCCTGGCTGTGGGGGACTCGGCTCATCTGCCTCATCAAGCTTTGAACCTCTGCCAGCTCAGACTGGGGGGCCAGGCCCTGATCTCCGGAGGCCATGCCTGCGCTGGAACACAGTGTCTCAATGGGAACATCATGGGGCTTACATGAGCTTATATGATAGGCCTTATGCCCGTGTCTGACTGTGTAGCCATTATTCAGAGGATTATTGTACGGTGCCACAGGGTTCTGGCTGTTTACATGTCTAGTCCTCCTGCCCTCTGAGTTTTTTAGCACACCTTTTGCTGACACGGAGGCTTTGATGATGGCCAACAGCCCCTGGTGGCCTCCTGTGTACAGGTGGGAGTAGTCACTGTGTGTGCCTGTCGTGTCCAACCCGTTGACGGTTTTGTTTATCTGTTTATGCTGTGGCACCCGGACCTCAGATGGAAAGATTTTGATGGACAGAGGGTTGTTGGCGGTCTTCTGGGCAAAAGCATCCAACTGTGCAGGAGAAGGGTACCGAGAAATCATGGAGGCTGGCTCGCCTGGGGAGAAAGAAGACAGAAACTAATGATTAGTACAAGCAGCTCAGATACATGTTTTCTGTGGTTTTTCAGTTCAATTTGAAACCTGTTTTGGGGGGGAAATGCAGACATCACCATGTCCTATAAACACATTTTAAGGAGGGAAACACCTCCAGCCCTGTTTGATCAGTGCCTAATGAAATTATTTCAGACTTAGTGCAACCCAAAATTAGGTTACCCTGGGAAATCAAAAGGCAGGAATTGGGAGAAGGGGGAGGGAGGACCTCATTTAACTGAAATGGCTCCAATGAGATGTATTTGATGACATTTAGCCGTTAAGCCACAGCGGGATTTGAGCAACACCGGTTCCTGCCTATACAATTTGGTTCCACTTTATGCTTTTATGAACCTGAACCGATTCTACTGTGAAAGCTTGGAGCCTAAACTGTGAGGGAAAAGTTGATGCAAATGGAAAAGAGCAATCACAAAGAGCACTGCTGATTGAATTGTGTGCCGGAAAGCTGACGGAACAAACTAAGATTGGATTTAAACACTATTATTCTGGCAATTTCATGCCTGCTTAACTCCCGGCGACAAAGGAAAGGTGGAAAAGCCACCACATTTAAAAACAATAAATCACCTGGTAGAAATTACCGCCACCTTTCAGAGTGACACTTTTATGGAACTCCTGACATAAAGAGAAAAGGCGGTGAAATTAACCTATACAGCAGAAATCATAGCAGGCAAAAGAACAAGGCTGTAATCGGCAATAAAAGGGGCGCAAAATAAAAACAAAACACTTCATTTCATTTTCAATAACAAAACCAATTCCAGCTATGCAGGGGAGAGATCACTTGTTGTTCCCATTTGAAATTGATTTGGGAGTTCATTTCATTTCTGGCCTACAGTGAGCCCTCCCGACTGTGAAAATGAATCAATCTACAAGATCCATCTCATGAAAGAAAGAAATTGGGTGTATAAAATGGAGGAAAAAGGGTAAGGTGGAGTGTTCAATCCATCCAGCAATCTCCCAGCGGAACTGAAGGAACAGCACCATGGTGCCAGAAGCATGAGTGAATTCTACAGAGAAATATAACAAAGCAAAACACTGCTTATGATGTAGCGAGATGTATAGTGTCTCAATAGAAAAGCAACGCTTCTGGGATGTTGGAGAGGTGTTCAAACTGTATACAAAATCAAGATTTAAAAGAGGTAACAAGGGGAAAAAAGCCAGCTGCAATCATGATATCCGCCCTATGGCTAAAAGCTGAATATGTATTACCAGAAATGACATGTAGAGCTTCATAACCACCAGCTTAGATGATGAGAAGGATCATAAATCTGACAAACACCAGCATTGACACCACTGCACACATCTTGTCTGTGTTCTGCCTGGGATAATATAACTCAATTAAAAGATAAATGATATAGCAAAACAAGCATTTCAGCCGTTTGTTGTTCAGTAAAATGTCGTTGTGGAGCTCTGCATGCTGCGATTGGCTTTCTGTTCCACAAACACTTCAAACGCTTTGAATGCTAACACGTCTTCACAGGGTGTCTGATATTGTTAGTCCGGAGATTACAGCCCTGTCAGAGCCATGGAGACACAACACAGCTGCACTTTCCACTGTGGCTGCCTCAACGCGGGCACTATGGAAACCTCATTAGCAAATAGGCCATCCCCACTCTGCATTCACATATTTATCATCTGAGGACTGCTACTGTGAGACATATGCATAGAGGGGATCATTTTAGCCGATCCTGACAGAAGCAAGTGGTGTAAAACTATGATCAGACACTACACGCTGTTCTATATTATAACCAGAGGTAATTGTATCAATCTCGGGGACTTTACGGTGTTAAATGGCCGTAAACTGAACACAGCATGTGTCCCAAAGCATGTGGTGGCTGTAAAACTTTACCTTGAAGTCATTCTTTACAATCTTCCTTCCTGCAGAACACACCCAAGTTAAAAAGTGTCTAAAATATGTGCTTCATTCATTACAATCTGGCAGTCATTCCCTTTAGAAGTGCCAAGCAAGCCTACTGTGCGGCCTCACCCAAACTCAACATGAGGGCAAATGCATACTGGTGACAGTGATAATTAAAGAAGTGCATCAGGTTTGACCTCTATGGTTCTCTGCAGGTGTTCAAAGAGGTTATTTGCACTCTAAAAGGGAGTATTTTAAAACATGCATCAGTCGCTTCCAGCTCATTGTGGCCTTTATCCTGAAAACAAGCACTTCAAGCAAACAAGTACACATTTTCAAATAAGGCCGAGCTTCTTAATTATTATCACGCTGCAATTATCTGTCAGCTCCTTGGCCCCCTTTATATCCCAGGAATTTGGAACTGCAGCACAAAAATGTATGAGCCACTGAATTAGTAAATATGTTCACCTAGCAGATGAGAATGTTACACAGGACTGGTTCCTTTAATCATAATGCCCTTAGGAGAGGAAATAATTCATGCCTATATTAAAGTAGGTTTGCATTTTTAGTAGATTATCATAAGCACATAGGCCAGAAGAAATGGTTTTGCATACACTAAAGACACACCAAAAACAGGTCTTGTTTTATGAGTTAACAAAAACATCTGTTTCTCGTTTAGACTCAACTAGTATCTCTTTGTACAGGTTTGTTTTATTGACAGCCACAGAAATAAATAACGACGAGACATGGAAACAAATATGAGGCTGTTCACATGACAACGGGGAAATGGCAGCTATTGTCAGGTGAGGAACGTCAGGAAGATAATTAGCAGTCTGACCTTAAGCACTTAATCACCCTGAACCTGCAGACTGCACGCCGCTTCACTCTGACACAGACGGAAGAACAGCACAGGAAACAGAGCGCCAGCCACTTTTAGCGAACAACCGTGCCCCAGAGCATCCTGCAGTGCTTACAAATTCAAATTCTTTGACCCTTAACATTTTCCCCCAATTGCTTTTTTGATAGAAGTAGTTTACGCAGGATGGAAAAAGCTTGTTTATCTTTCTGTTTTCCTCAAAAATCTGCATAATGACACTGTCGCATCCGCAATCCTCGATGGATAGATTTAATGGTCCCCGGAGCCAGGCTTGAATGTTTTCTGGGTTGGAAGGGGGCTCCACGCATTAAACATGCTGCTCAACTGTTGTGGCACCACGCTGAGTAAAACTGGCACACTTTCACAGGAAACACCTAATCCTGATTTCCTCTTTCCAAGCAGGGGACGTGCACAGTTGGGGGTAGGGGGCCAATTATAAACTCTCAATCACCACTAGGCCTGATTTATTATGTGTGTGTGTGACTTAAAGGAAATAGATTATTGTTTAAGCCTGAAAATATTAAGGAGGGATAACACATTGAGTTCTAACCATTCAGTTATATACATGGTCTTTCATAACCCTGATTCCACCCCCATACAATCCCACTCGATGCTTTGTGCCACTCTAAACTGGCTAATCTTTTTCCCGTGGTCACACTTGAAGCCATTTCCCCCCAGATTAGAGCGGAGACCTCATTGTTTCGGAGCAGTTTCAGTTAATCACTAATTTATGGGCAAAACAAGCCCCAGAGGCAGAGCTGAAAACGGCACTTGGATAGGCTCATTGCGAAAACCACGGCTTCCAAATATGTCATACCCAGAGGGATAACATAAGAGAACCATTAGAATGACCACCGCATTCCCACATGAGATAAAAACTGAACATGCATACATTATTCCTTGTTAATATCCGTGCATGTGAGCTGAACAACCAGAAATGAAATCCCACAGGTTTTTGATGTTGTGCTGAATACTTATCGTGCAACACTTGGTGCGATAACATGTTTACCAGTGTCTAATCCTCAGCAGGAACATGGCACTGAGAACTGCCGGTTAATTACAGAACAGTGTTTCTCAGCAGGCACGGATATTTGTTTACAGCACCGATAATCCTGATATTTAAAATACTCTGTCACCTTAATAACCAGGGACTGAGCACAGTACAGTCCCAAATGCATGAAGAACCTATGTCTCATTACCATGGCAACCTCCTCTATGCACATGTCATTAGAGCCATGTAATTAATTGGCCCTGACTTAATTCATCTCTTTGAGGCGGGCCTCTGCAATTGACTATGTGCTGATTAGATTTTAATAACATTAAAAGAAGCAGCTGCTAGCTTTTCCCCTTAATTTAGGTCAACATTGAGAAATATATTTAGTCATTTATATCATATGTAAATTACTAAACATATACAGCTTGAATGGACATACAACTCTGTATTAGTCAAATCATTCCAAAACACAACTGTGTGAGAAAATATCTGGCTCTTTAATGAAAATGTAGAATGTATAAGACGTACAATTAAGGGTGAGAATTTAGAGCATTGTAAATTAAAAACAAGAATACATCTGTTGAGTCTCAGATTCTAGGTCATTTAAAATAAAATCAGAAACCATAGCTCCGTGCTTTGTTCCAAAATGCAACAATGAAGCACGTAAAACCAAAACAATGGGCTGAAAGGAGCGTAGGAAACTCAGAATTCAATGCTAATTCTCTTAGTTTCTCACTGAAACAAGTCAGTCATTTGACTCAAACATATTGATTGATACTGGTCTGATAAGTGGTATCACTACAAAGACAAAGTGTCAGGAGTGTAGTCAGTGGACTCGTGCATTTACATGTATCTCTCATGGGGTTTAAAGAAGATTGCAGTTAATGCCTCCATGTGGTTTCCTCAACCCAGAGGACCATTAGATGGAGATAAGTGAAGCAGAAAAAGTCGACATGTTGACACCAGAACACAGACTCTTAAATCTCACTTATACTCTATTTACAACTTCTTCCGTAAACACACTAAATAAGAATACAGACGCTCATTCACCCCATTTTCACATGCATCCCTCCTTCCATGTCAGTGATCTCTGCATGAAGGGTGCTCACAGAGCGGCGTAACCTCGGGGTTGAACACTTAGTTATGTGTGCTCGGAGAGGCTCAGGCGAATGCTCCTTTGCACCAGTGTCACTCCTCATTTGTTTCTGTGCCGCTTGGCCCAGCTTGGGCAAACTTTCCCCTCTCAGAGCCGACCCAAGCTCAGGCCAGCAGCGTGGGAAAAAGCATTTCCAGCGCCTGTGCTTTCAAGCTGAGATAGCAGAGAACAGCTCTCATTCACTCATCACATAATTCCTAGTTTCCCAGAAATCACTCGCATGGGGCTGAGAGCTTTCATGTCCTGCGCCTTCCATTTATTGATAGCTAAAAATGGAAATGGCTTTGAAAGGCGCAGCAGCGACTAAAGACCGTCCCTATTTAACTCAATCCAACAGCGAGTCATTTAATGAAGAGGCCACACAGACTGAGCTCCCATCAGCAGTCTATTCCCTGTGGTTGTGTTTGAAATGTCAGGCTGGAGCTGGAGGGTGCTGCACTACACACAGTACATAAAACTCAAAAGGGGGGGAAAGGCCCTGCAGGTAAACAGGATGAGAAACGTACCCCTGGTTCTGCCTGAGGCTAACTAGGCCCTTCTGTTCCAGCGTTTAGCAGACAAGTGCGCCATTGATTCCCAATTAATATTTAATAGCATAAAAGACAAAGAGGCATTTCACCTGAGGAGATGGGAGAGGAGGAGATGGAGCGTAACAGGGAGAGATTTTCATATGGATACCCATTGCTCGGCTAGTTCATAAAGGAGAAATGCATATCAAATACATCTATGCTTTTTGTTAATTAACTACACAGTCTGTCACCATGACAACACAGGTGTTTCCACTTATTTTTGGCTGATTAGACCTCGTCTCCGGGCTGAGTGGGTATTTTTACATCTCTGCTTGTTGCACCTGTTAGATCAAGAACCCTTTTTATGGTGCTTTTAAATATATGCCATTTTCAGTACCTCAGAAAGCCCCAAGCATGAATCCGCCGGAGAACAAGTCTAATTATCCAGACTAATGGAAAACACCTGTGTGTGTGTGTGTGCAGGTGTCGACGAAATCTGATCACTACAGGGTTACCTGAGAATAATGTTGTGCCTTTTATACTTCACAAATTATGTTCACTATGTAAAACACACTCAAGGAAGATTAGATTGTATTATACATGAAAAAAGATAGCTTTGATGAAATAACGCAGGCTCATGCAAATGAACAGAACATTCACTAGCAACATGATGAGATGGAAAATATAATCCTGACCACTGCCCTGCTCTGCAGACAAATGTGCATGTGTGTCACCTTTGCTAAGCTAACATTGATAATCAAATGATGGTGACACCATTGGAGATTGTACATAATGTTACCGGTCAATATTTGCATTGTCGTGCTTTCTATCAGACTATGTTGTGAGCCATCCTGTTTCATTTCCTTTATAATGATCACTCAGAAACAAACTCCTTCCATGGATCTAAAGAAATCAAATGATATATATATGGCAGCATAGGCTTAAAGCAATAACAGCACAATAGCTATACCAAGGATCTTTAAAGGACCATATCATTCAGGAGGTTTCATAATGCTACAATACACACCCAGTCGAACCCTTAAATGGTAGGTAGTTATAGATCTTCAAAATAGCTTCAAACCAGAGCCAGCATCATAGTATAAAGACATCAGCCAATTTTTAAAGCAATTTGGAAAAGCAAACAACAGCAGAATGACTCTTTCTGCTACTATGATCTAATTATGTGATTCTAGATGGTCCGGGAACATCTCTGCACAAAATAATATAGATGTAGAGTAACTAACATGAATAAGGACGTTTCTGACCATGAAGGAAATCTGCAAATAAGTTGCATTCCATCAATTAACCCAAATAACTCTAATCACAAATGTCACTCCATGTTAGGTTGAGACACCCACTCCACCTTTGAGAGACTGCAGTATAATCAGTCATGATGAAGGTCAAACAACACAGACACGGAGCATTTTCTGCACCAAATGTGAACGTCATTAGTTACCCTGTATGTCACTTGATTAAGTCAGTAATTTTAGAGTCCACTTTGACCCGCATGCATATGCACTGCAGGAGCGCTCTGATTAGTTGCCCAATTAAGAGGCATCGCCATCATCAGGAGGCCCATTATTTTAAATTCCAGAATAGCTGCTGAAATGTTGGCGCACCGCTAAAACCATGCATGAGCTTCATGTGGAAAGGTCAAGGTGAACATGATTGATTAAAAAGTAACTCAGGAGCATGACCGAGACAGAGAGTTGGTGGTATCTGTCCTCGCTGGCACAATGTCTTCACATGATATAAGCTCACCTTTGTGGCTGCACGGCTGCAGTTGGGGAACTGACAGCAGTAATGGCGGGGGTGGAACATCAAGGCTTTTGGGTGCGCAGGCCAGGCTCTGCGACGAGAGATTCTGCCGTCTCTGGATACAGGCCAGCATGATAGTTCTCTAGGGCTGCACACAGCCTGGGTAAACCTGCTGAAGGAAAGGGAAGCACACGTTTTAACTCGATAGCCAATACACTTAATACAATGGTGATTCAAAAAGACAAATCTACAGTGCTTTAAGCTACATGCTGACATGCTCACAATGTCTGTGTTCAGAGCTCATAGGTTAACCACGTTCAAAATGAAATAGTTAACACATGTGTGTGGCTAAGGCTGATGGGAATCATATTGCCTTGAGACATTTGACAAAAAACTGAAATGTCAACTTTGTGGATGAACTACAGGAAAAGTCAGAGGATAAACAGGATCAGTAGGCTTCATCCTCTAACCAACACGTATGTCAGTGTCAAATTAAATGGCAATCTATCCAAAAGTAAATCATATGTAACACATTCAAAATATTGCATTTAACATCAGTCTGACGTTAGAAGAAAACTGTACACTTGCTTGTGAACACTAAAACCCCTGAAGTATGCTTTCCTCTTTAAGAAATAAAATTATTCTGCATCACCACTTGTTGTTGTTTTTTTTTACCATTTTAAAATTCAGAAGTTCTTTGAACTGCTGGGATTGTACATTGACAATGATATGACTCAATGACTCCATCGAGGCCAGGGTTTATTCTTCTATACATTTATGGCCGTATTGATCAGCAGAGAAAGCCAAAAGCAGCTCACTCCAAAGAATAAGGCTATGGTCTTAGCAGAGTTAAGTCATATCAGAAGAAATGAAAGACTGTGTCTGAAAGAGACGGCGTCTTAATACAGATTTGCTGATTGAAGCAATCATTCAGAAGATAAAGCCCGGCATTGAGGGAATATTTCAGCGATAAAACCATTTGACATTCTCTTTGATTATCTCAGTCACCAAGTCTGAATGCAAGCTCTGAAAAATCCAAACTCCCTGGGCTACTGTTATGTATGTATGTATATCAGGTACCTTATAGACAGACAACTGCAATCTATGCAGCTAAAAAACGGCCGACTTGTAGGGTATACATATCTAATAAGTTCAATGATTACCGATGGAAAGAAACAGCATTTCAATCACAATGCATTAGTCCCTCACAATGTTAATATAAGCCTGCAGCATGCGGCTGTCAGATTGCGTCTTTTTCTTGCTCAGTTTTTAAGGTTCTTTTGGATTTTTGCTTTCATTTCTCCCTCAGGGTCCAGAGGGCAGCTAAAGCGAATCAACCACAGAACGAGTGTTCAGTGACGAGCTGCAGAAACATGATTACCCTCGCCTCAAAAGGAAGAAGAGACGGAGTGGCTTTGATTTCACTCAGGTGCCAAGTCAAAAAAAGATTCCCTCACTCTTCCCTCGCTCATGTACCCGCTCCCCTCCTCCGCTCAACATCTGTCCCTCGGTGACAAGCCCACTTCAAACCGCTCCGTGCAACCTGTCTCATCTGAGCACACACATCTGAAGAGCTAAAAGCCTCAGCATGGTCAGATTCCATTTAGAAAATAATGGCAATTTCACAACAACCCTTCCATTACCACACAATTGTCAAGAGAGAGGGGCCGAACACGCAGAAGAAACACAGGGCAGACAAAAGGTTTCTCCAGGGAAATCCCTTCACCAGCAGAAAATGAGACGTGAATTGGAACACCTTCCATTACTCCCATAATTTTTAGCTGGAGTCAAATACATCAAGGTGGGCATTATAATTCAAGGGAAGCCGGCAGTGGCTTAAAGAAAGAAAAAAATTCCACTGAAAGCAGAAAAGGGAGCTAGAAATGATGCATAAAGTGCAAGTAATGACGGTTTCTTTCATCCTGCTATCTACATTTTTTATTTAAAGGATTTTATGAAAAACTTAAGCTTGAAATGGCCTTCCGACTCCTGAGCAGAATTACCCGGGAAAAAAGGGAAGAAAGATAGATCAAAGTGGTCCCAGAATGCATGATATTACCTGGGTTAAGTTATAAAGCAGTATCAGTTCTCCAGCCGTTCATTTAATGTTCTGCTCAAAAGAAAAGTTTTATGTCTTGCACTTTCTTACAATGTCATATCAGGATAAGTCATAATAATGAATGGCTGCAATAATAAAGAAATTAGGTACATGGCAACTGCAAAGTCAGCTATCTTTAAAATGGCAGCATAGTTAAACTCAACCTTCACAAATGAGGTCAATAATCTTTTTTATTAACATAATAGTCAGTGTTACTCTCTCCAAGCCAGTTTTCTACAATTAGCTATCCATTTAGCATTTAACCTGCCTTTGTGCAAGACATCACTTCTCATATGTCCTTTGTAAGTCTTCACTTGTCTTACAAGAGCACGTATTCAAGGACTTTTTTAACAGGCATAAGAAGAAAAAGAGCACAAAAGTTGAAGGTTGTGACGAAAAATCTTCCCCACTCTCAGGCGACATCCAAGGAGATAAACCTTGTGCTTTTCAGTCTATCTAACTGTCCCCTAAGGATGCCATGGCAGACAAATGTGTTTTTCAAGCCTCTTCCCCGGTCAATGACGGGATGCAAAATGCCAGATTTATATTTTTCCCAAATGTGTCGTCTGTCTTAGGATCAGGAGAGGAAACACTGTGAGAGAGGAGATCAACTGAAGAGCCGTGAGGGCAGTGATGGAGGGACTTTATAATGGCTGCTTCGGTTTAACAGGCAGAGAGCTCATGCCTTAAATGTTAACTGAATTTTAATGATATCTGTCAGCTAATTATCTTGAGAACTCTATTGATGAATTATCATAGGAGCACCATTCATATTGAGGCTTTAATAGGAAGAACTCCAGGAAGAAATGGTAGGCTATGTGGATCACGTTTCTTGATATGATAAAGCTATGCATGCAGCAAATGTTAAACTAAATGTGCCTTGCCTTACTTTTTACCAGTTTCACAATACAAAGAAGCAGCATTGAATAGCCATTGAAAGCAAGAAAAGAATCGCCTAGGAACATCTGTCTGACCTTCTTGAGCCTTTTATGGGTTAGCACAGCATCGAGGGTCAGAGTGAAGATAGACGCAAATTGCAAACAGGGAGGCTCCCTCTAAACAAACATGAATCACGCAGAATAATGATACACACTGGCTCTACACACACCCTCGCCCTGCCACACACACACCCCCCCCCCCCCTACCAGCTCAGCTCCTGTTAGCAGTTCTCAGAATCCTCAGTTAATAATTAGATGATAATGAAAAAGGTCCAAGACAAGCACCCTTTTAACTCTCTGGGTGGATTAGCATGTGAGTGCTATGCTAATGGTTTTCTCCTTCCTTCCACTCAGAAATTGCAGAAAAGCAAAAGGGAAATAGCACAAAGACGGTTAATTTAAGAGGGAATAAATGATTAACAAAGAGCAATTGGTCATTAAATAAGATAAAAAGCATTGTGTCTCTTTGAATGAGCATGAAACGGCCCATAAAAAACAATCCATTCGCTGTATAATTAATTGTATATTACCCATGGCTTTTATGCTGTCTTTCAGGTATGGCACTATGAGCCTGTCTAAGTAATGAAGACCAGACAAGTATTCTGACATACAGACAGAATTAGACAGCAGTGCTGCAGCAGCTGCCGGATTCATCTCTATACACCCCTCCACACACACACATGCTCCCCCCACACTGATCCCCCCCAAACCCCTCATACATTTTTAATAGAATCTATTACTTCTGGATTAGCCGATAAGAGCTGGCCTGGTTAAATTCTATAATAGTTTGCATAATTGGTATCAGAGCAGCATATAAGAGGGACCCAGATTTCTCTCTTCCCCTTCTCTGGAGAAAAGGAGAAGGAAAAAAAGGACACAAAGGTTCACATCCAGTATAACCAAACAACCCGGAGCCACTCTGCTCTACGCTGCAAGAACACTCGAGGCCTGCGGCTGATAACAATGAGCCTCATTTCCATTGAGATTAGCTAAATGCTATTACAACAGTGTTGAAAAGCATTTCCTATACAATCCACGCGCAAGCACAAAATGTATGCAAATACAATCGTCAGGCAATATTCAGACAGATGTCCAGAGCATTCTGTTGGGCGTAAATCATGCATTTATATGGCTGGGTGTCTGGGAAAAACCACATTAACATAACAGTTTCTCCCATGAAAAAAAATCATATATCCATCACAAGACAGTTGTGTAATGAAGCTAAAAAGCATTTTAGTATGAAAATGCTGAACAAACAGACAGAGTCAGACAATCTTTAAAAGTCCTTCACATTCTGACACACATTTCCCCCCCTCCTGCAAAACACCCACATACTTGGGCAAAGTCTAATGCTAATATAAATTAAACGTGTTAATATATGCAACACCCAATGTTGTCCTTCACTGAGCTATGACATTGTTATCAAACTTTACTGTATTAAAATATAATTTACCCCCTTTATGTTCAACCACCTCCCTATGATGCTTTTCCATTGTAAGAAAACATGTCATTTATCAAGCGGTTTGAATTTGTCCTCAGAAATTGCTGGTGCATTTTTGAACAGATTATGAATTCTAAACAGCATTTACGTACAACTAATTACAACTTATATTTTGATATCTAGCTATTAATTAGTTGAAAATCAAAAAACATACTATGTTATCAAAACGTTTAAATGTGTAAGAGCAAAGTAGATAAGACTGTTTTTACTAGTAAGTAACACTCCAGCAACAAATGGATTGAAAAAACTAAAGACGGTCCAACTTGCTGGCATCAGAGCTTGCATCATTAATTTCAGCAGCAGCCGCCACAACATGAAGTATTTAAGGTTTCTAGTTTGGAAAAACAATTAATCATTTACTTTGGAGTTGATATAGGGCCATACAAATGTGCACCAACAAAAAAAAGCCTCGTAAAATCCTCAGCTTGACTACATGTATAGAGATGCTGACAACTAATGTAGCCATGTATTTAAAGTTGCACAATTAGTCTTATCTTGATGTACAGCCTGGGATAGGGAGTAGAAAGCTTTGGACTGACCCAAATCTGCCCTTGCCCGAAGACAGCGCCAAGGTAAAAGAAACACACGGCATGGGGTAAAGTCTGGCCAATGCCAAGGTAACATTAGAGGGTAAACAGAGCCTTATCTTATCGTATGCACACGGAGACACACTGTCAAAGAGCCATGGGTATGCTGTCCAGCCTTTAGAAAACCTTGACTTCAAAGATAACAGATGGTAAATGGGTGGGCTGAAGGTTTTTTTAGAAAGATAAGTTATTTTTCAAAAGAATCAAACTGATTAAAATGTTATGTTGACATCTGACGGTCAACTCAGGTAGGGATAACACAATTTATAAGTCATCCATTCTCAACTATTGTTAAAACCATAGAACAATACAATAATGAACGAAGCAATTACTTTATGAAACATTCAATTCCTCCCAACCCCCTTTTCCCCAAGCCCTGTCCTCTGGCTGTTTACTTTACTTTAGGGTCAGTGCTTCCTTCAAGTCATTAAAATGTTCGAGCAAACATGAAACTCATTAGAAACTGTACCGCTCTAATGTGGGAGATAACATAATGATAAGCCCTCTCCCATGTATCGCAGAAACATCAAAAATGCTCTAGGAAGAAAAAAAAAGGCTCTTTGATCTCTGGACCAACGAAAAATGTCATGATTTCAAAGCCTTTCTATTTGGGGCAAATGATGATGCGTCAATTGCAATTTGGCCGTCTTAATCATTAATTTGAAGTAATTACTGCATGAGCACCACCGTGTAGACAAAATAAAAATGATTGGAGCTCCAAATAACTTTTGCAGTCATGTCCCCCTCCCCGATGACCCTGGAGGCCCAGTCCTTAACCTTCCACCCCTAACCCCCGTCTCACTCCCCCTTCATCCTATTAGAAAGAAAAGACCAATTAGACAGATTTCAAAAGATGGCAGGCTGCCTGTAATTACACATGACATCTCTTAGCAGATACAAAGGTGATTACAAAGGGTGAACGGGCGAAACTGCAACACGACCAAGCCATGGCGTCATTCCTATCAAATCTATGGAAGTTGGGTGCGGAGCATGTACATTTAGTCATTCTGTATCATATCATCCAGTCTGCGCATATACCCACTTAACCAGCCTTAAATCTAAAGCTATGGATGACATGGCAGAAAAAGACATGACCTTAATCAGTCCTTGTACTGGCCTGCGTAATAGTCATCCAAGAAAAGGTCATTCTGGTGGTGAGCCGTTTCCTCCATTCAGTAATTCGGTAGGCATGGAGATTGAGCGAGCCTGGGGAAACTTCACAATAAATCAGAGCTCAGCTTCGCTCCTGAGAAGGCAAAGGGAAGCAGGCAGCCAAATGACAAATCCCTTCCCTTCACAGAGTTGGAATTACTGCTGGGGTGTGATGCGAGATCAGAGGGAAACCCCCATGGGATACCTGTACATGGACTGCTCATAACACCACGCAATTTACAAGCCTCCCTAACGACTCCAGTCCCAGGCATAGCACAAACAACCAAATTATGAATGTCAGATTTTTACTAGCTACCTATAACAGTCTATACTGGAATAAAATATTGGTCTAGATTAAATGACACGACGAGCGATAAACATTCACTTGTATAGTAAAAGTAGACAAAGAGTAAATCTTATAGAGTATAAAGCCATACTTTATGATGCAAGGGGGATAACGCACTAACAATTTTAATATAACAATGTGGTAAATCAAAAGCTACAAGACCAGAATGGATAGGTTTATAGGAAATGCAAAAGACAGAAAGATAAGCATATTCCTGATCAGACATCTCCATATAAACCCGGAGGGTTTTTTTTTTCCACAATTTGTCATGGAAGAAACCTGACAAAAAAGAAAGAGACAATAAAACACCAAATTGCAGGCTTTCCTGAATTCCCTGCCTCTGGTGGGAAGCTGTGACACCCTATCTCTCTGGGTAATAAAGGATCTGGCACAAGCAGGAAAAGCATGCGGGGTAGAATTTCACACCTGGCCAATAATCCATAGGCCCCTCTGCTGCGGCTAACCTTCAACCTCGGCTGCCACCGGTGCAGTGAGGTGTGATGATCCCACCTCCGGCTGCTAGACAATAGAAATGGAAACCTTCACAGGCAGCCCTGAATGACCAATAATATACTTCAAAGTACTTCCCTTCCCGTATCCACTGAGATGCTGCTGACATATAAAGCGCCTTTCACTGCGCGTAAAGCCACCATCCCAACACAGATGTAATTTGAGGATTAAAAGGTTAGACTAGATTTAGAATTACCTCAAAACAGAAGAGTTCCAAAGAAAACATTTAGAAAACTACATATTTGTGTTACGGAAATATTTAACTGATGTTATAATAAACACTGCTATTTCCTACATGTAACAGTTAAATATGATTTAGGGTTTAGTCTGCCATTAGATAAATGAGTCTAGTGTATATAAATTACAAACTTCATAGTTGGACTCGGCCCACATAAATACACATTAGCCAATAGCATGACTGATATGGGCGAGACGCTCCTATCCATTAGTGCGCACTGGGCATCTTTCACCACTTTAGCGCTGTCGACTCCAAATCAATGCATGACAAATCCTGACATCATACATTAAAACATCTCTTATCAACCATTAACATTTTTATGTTATTATTTAGTTACACAGCTACCATTACATACTAATTCGGTTACTACAACAAAACATTTTCTGCACTGAGAAACATTTTCAATAAGCTCCCTACACATAAAGGATGGAAATAATAAACATAATCAATTTCTTACAGAGTTTGGTGTTATCATAAGGCTTGTTTATCTTTGGTTTTCCACGGCTGATTGGTTGTTCTCCTGCTCGGAAGGCGTATTTCCTCTGGAAAAGATATCTCGCCACTGATTTCGCGAAACCTCCGGAAATATATCCATTGAGGACGCTGGCGCCATTAATTGTACTTCCTCCACATATTCAACATTATTGTAAAAGATAATTTCATCGATTGGGTTTTCCTTGCAGCTGCCTGTATCTCATCTCGGCAGGCGATCAAGCTGTGTGTGCCACAGAGAGTGATGTCGGAATGGACATGAGTCCCCTGCACTGTGCAAACCGACTCTGGGCCAATCAATCAGGCCTGGATTTGAATATTCCCACGGCTCGACCAATCGTGTGAGAGAGGGGGCGGCCCGCTGTCGTGATGCCAGAGCCGTCAAAGTAAGCACGTTGCTGTTTCACGGAATCATTTAAAGGAGAACATCTCCTGTGTAAGAAAACGAATGCAAGTTTTTTTTTGGTGTAACTTGAGTCCTGCACTTCTGATCGATTAAGAAAGCCATGCACCTGCTTTGTACAGTAATTGTTTCTACAGCTTAGTTTATCAGGAGTGCTTAATTTACTCTCAATTGGTTTAGGTGTGCAGGACTGGAGTAGAGGTGCTCGAAAGAGCTGCATCACCTGTAGGGATAGTCACAGTTTAACTGGTTTAGGAGCTTTTATCCCCCAAGTAACAACAACACATCCTCCATCCAAAAATAAAAAGTGTTATCAACAAAATACAATTAAAAGTAGCCTATACATAAAAACAAACATGTATATTTTAATGTCGATCATTGTAATGTGTGTATACAGGCCTACTGTTCAGTAACTCTCCACGCTAAACTAAATGATGTATAAATGTACATGGGTGAATGAAAAGGTACAACACTTCCCTTTGAAATGTTTTAAAGAAGTGTAATGTAGAACAACATTTGTACTTCAAGTGTACTTAACTACTTTGACCCCAGAATGTCAGACACAAAGCCGCACTTTGAAATATTATGCAATCCAAGTGAGCGACACAACAAACTGCAGCTTCATAAATCACTAAAGCATGAATCAGCATCTCACTATGGCCTCACAGCAAATTGACTAGCTTAACCCAAAATGTCAGCTGTTAAAAAGACCACCCTAATGTATTTCTGATCATAGATTAACTCACTCCTGCAGGAATAGTGAGACATATAAGAAAATATACGTATTTGCTTTCTTGTTAAAAACTATATGAGAAGCTCAATCCTCAACATGAAAGCAAATAAGTATATCATTATCTGCATATGTCATCCTCAAAGGCTGAATTAGACTTTGAACACCAATTCGTCAATATTCAACTCACAATGCTGCATCAGCACCACTCTGTACACCAATAAATCTTCACAACGTCATAGAAACCACCAGTCACTAAAAAAACAACCCATCAAATCATGCAGTGCACACCAAGAGATGTGCAGCAGACCCACTGTTGCTGTGAGATATAATATTGAATTGTTTCCTTACAGCTTCCTGAGTGTCATTTCTCTGAATGAGGCCTGCAGATATAGCAAATGGGGTTACCATGCCAACTAATGTCCCTACATTGAACACTGAAGACGTAGATGGATCACCCTTCTCTAGTTCATCACATATTGTTGTAATGGCTATACAGTCATATCAATTAAAAGCAGCTTACTGATCCTTCGAGGTCAAACACACAAATCTTTTGAATACACATGTTGTAATTGTTCAAATGTCAAGACCATCATCCAGAAATCCTAACCCAACACCACCTTATGTGCTGGTATGCCTTGTTGAGAGTGACACCATGAAATAGTAATTAAAGAGTCATTACAGACTACACGTTTGTTGGTTGTGATCAGTCATACAAATTGATTTGTGTGGATATGCTTTTTACAGTAATGCCATTAGCAATGGATATTTTATAACACATCATTTTTCTCCTCCTTGTTCTGTTAAGAAAACAACTCTTATTCCAAGTGATCCAGACTGACATTCCTGACTTTAGCCATATGGCTGTTTTACTATGAACGACATCCAAAGAAGATATTCATAAATAAACACATGTATAGGGACTTACATATCTCAACAATAGGCTTAACAAGAGGAATGTGAACATACAAATGTGTGAGCATATAAATATAAACACGAAGCTTAAAGCCTTATTGAGGATTGGTCCAAGGTATACAATTGAAAGACTGGAACCAGCAAGATTGAACCATACGCTCATTAGCATGACAATAACAGCATGGCAGTTTTGCTCTGTTGGAACAACAAAACATATTCGTCACCGAGGAATTCACAAGTTGATATTCTGAATGCACACAGTTTGTAGGGGATTCAACTGTTTGCTTCTTGAATTACTCTGATCCTGATTATCAATCTGTTCTGGCAATGTCATCATGTCCTTATGTTGTCAAGCTCTGCCTCTTAAGACGGTTCTCATCAGACCAGAATGTACCTGGCAGTGACAGTAATAAAGAGCTCCATCTGCGCCTGGCAGGCAGAGGCAAATGAACCAATTAAGGTCTGGTGAAGTCTCCTCTTTCACCCAATCGCAATGGCTGCTGTCATCTTCATCATGATGAAAAGGAGAGAGAGCAGGGGTAATTAAATACCAGCAAGGCCGGGGGGCAAACCTAATAACTCTCTGTAACAAGCCCAATAGGAGAGCTTATTGCTTGAGAGTTCACAGAGTGAATAGTGAACAGAACCACTTAGTGCACGCAAACATTCGGATAGTTTCAGTAACAGGCCTGCATGTTCCTTGGAGAAAATTGACCTTTTGGAGAGATATCTGCAATAGCTCAGAGGCGAAGTACAAAAAGCTTCTTATGCCACCGTTTATCTACCACACTGATCTCTGCTCTAGTCAGAACTGGCTTCTCTATGTACTCAAACACTGTGCTGGGTATACTTACAGTAATGCATGTGGAAGTATTGCCATCTGCTGGAAAAGGTATGCTTGTGCAGCAATTCTGAAGCATCTGTGAATGGGCAGTGCACTACACATTGCCAGGTGTTTTTGTCGTTATTGAGTGTTTTTAAAGTATGACATTTGGCATTGAACACAAAAACCACTATGCGGAATAAACCGCACTAAAAAAAGGTCGACAAATGAAATGAAAACGCATATTTTTAAGCAGGGTAACGGTGCTTTTGTGAGTGTTTAACAGAAGGCACTATTACGTTCCTACGGCAACGCGTTGCAGCTTCCTCCAAGAGGATCATGGGAAATAATTCTGGCTATTGAAGCGGAGGGAGTTTCGAAATATATCATGATAAGTTACGGGATAACACGTAATAAAATAGTTTAATTGTTATTTTGCAACACAATATTGTGACCATTAAAACAGTTGACCATGGCAAATGTAGTTAAAGTGCTCAGGTAAGGATTGTATCGGTACCAAATAATGCTCCGCGCAGTAAACACATTTAGCTAGGTGGCTAATGCTAGTTAACGTTATGGTTGACCATGGTGATGTTTTTGTTGCTTCAAACATCTGATAACATTAGCTATAAACACCGAACCATTGCCAGTACATAACACCCATTGCTGCAAACGTATAACGGTTACATTGTACATTTGGGAGTGGTATTTCTTACTAGAAACGTGGCTAATTTTGAATGATTACATTGCAGTAAATACAAATGTTGCTTGTCAGCTAACCAATAGCTTTATTGTCTTGCTTGTAAAGGAGAATCCTGTAAGCACAACAAGCCCTTTCTGAGGACCAATCAAGAGGAATACCTGATGCTGTCTTTAAAACATGGAGCTGAAGTTGGAGGTTGTTTTGTCATCCAGCATCAAACGAAAGAAACCATGGCCGCGCTTCTGTTGGCTTGGGAAGGTGAGGACAGTCAAGCATTTCAGTCAGAGTCACTCAATATCAACATGAGGAGAAAATGAACCTGTGTCATGTCCCTCATCAGGAGAAGGAGTCTGTGTTCCTGTTGGATGACAAGCGGATCAGTGAGATCAACATGGTGTCTGGTCGCACCAAGAAGAGGACTCCTAAACTCCATCCTTTACTCAACAGTGTGGTGACAATGGCTTCATCCCACAGTGGTGAGTAAAATGTGTAAACTCAAGGCAAAATACATCACCTATCGTCACCTATCCATTGTGAAAATAAATTACAAGTCTCTTATTGTTTTTGTTTGTAGGTATGTGGCTTTGTGGACTTTTGGTCTCAGGAGAGCTGTTTCTGTGGAACAGGGATAAAGACTTGTTGAAGACGGCTGCAGCAGTCCCTGAAGTAGTTCAAATGATAACTGCTGTTCAAGGTAGGATGGTACATTATTTGTACATGTACATATGAATCCTCCATACTGTGAGTCGATAACATACTTCGCTTCACTTGGAAGATGTGGGAGGGTGCACTGACCTGATATGCAAAATGTTACATTTGCTTCCACATTTAATCCTGAATTTAAGAAGGGATGCAACTGATGTGGGTTAATAAGATGATGTTTAGTATTTTACCTTTGGCTGATCGTTGAGTATCCTGATTCCATTTAAATGAAATGGTAAATCTTCGATCCTTGTGTTTATTTTTTCACAGGCAATGCCACACGATTGTCTCTCCGGGTTTCAGGGGATGGGATGCGTGTGCTCCTGGTATCCATAACAGGGCAAGTGTTCCTGTGGGAGTGTGTGGATGTCAGGGATTTGACAGGAGTACGAGATGGCACAGTCAGGGGACACTGGGCACATATACAGCCCCTAGAAGACTCCATTCTGCCTTCTTCACAAGACAAGGAAGCATCTGTACACACCATCTTCGTCAAATCAGAGGTCTGTCTTAGTTATGAACGTATTGTATTTTGTCTCATGTTTTAATTCATGACAACATTTGATTTTCTATAGGCCTAACAATGAATTGTATCTCCAATCTTAGGTTATAGGGGATGCCTGCTTAGCAGCTTTTGCTTTCACATCTGGGAAGAAGCTAATCCTCACCTACCTGAAGATTCAGTGGGAAGAGGCCAACCTGAGAGTAGGGTGAGTGAACAGGTCTATGTAGCAGACAGGACTCTCATTGGGTATTACAGTGGTTAAAAGCACACATTTCTTTTTGTAGTTCTGTGCGATACAGCATAAAGTGGGCGACCGAGACATACCCCATGTCTCGTCTCACCCCTCCCTGCCACCCAGTGAAGTCCAGAGGGGCGTTGGTGCCAGCCTTCTCCCCAGATGGCAGCCTGTTAGCCATTGTCCTGAATCAGAGACAGCCTAAGGTAACCTGTCTATCTT